GGGAAGCACATAAGAATAAAGAACATAATAATTAAAAAGTAGAATGGCCGCTTTACACAACGAGACCAAGATGGTCTGCATGCTTTCATAAAGGCGGTAGCAGTATCGGTAACATCTGCCGCAGTACACAAACCTGTGGAAATTTGCCCCAACCTACCCTCACACAAGAAAACGCAAGGCAGAAAAGTTACTGACCCCATGAGAGGAGAGGCCACGAAACAGATTTTAATTCAGAAAGAACATGACAAGAAAGAAGAATAGAGAAAAAAAGCAGAGAGGAAGGTAGATCAGGAATGACAAAAAAAAGAAGCTGAGAAGAATCAGGACAAACAAAGACAGGCTGAAGAAAGAAGAAAAAGACAAGAAGAGAAAAAGAAAGAAACCGAAAAAAGGAAAATGGAGGCCAAAAAGAAGATGTCAGTGGATGAAAATGAGATGGTCCGTTGCTAAGAGGGGGAAGAGGACGCAATGTCCGAGGACAGTCTTCTGGGTGTCCTGGAGGGGGCACAACAAGAGGGAGACCAGAAACTGCCCAGTCTGTCGCAACACAAGTCAGGAGACGCAGTGGATCCAGTGTGCTACCTGTAAAGCATGGTACCACCACACTTGTGTCAAGAACATGGACCTCGTTGGAATGACCCAGGCTGAACTTGAATCTATCAACAGCTTCCAGTGAGACTTTTGCGCCTAAAAGCACCTTTAACGTCATCATGGAGGGAGGGAGGGATAACACTAAGATGTATCTGGAAAATAGAATGGTAATGAATGGTTGACGTTTGCTTTCTTTGCACAATTCCGATTCCCATGTTCTTGTTTCAGCTTAAAATTTTGACTCAAGTTTGTTTCATACTGATGTTGAAATTGTGCTTGCTAATTTTTTTATACAAAGTTTAATTCTCAGTTCCCACAGGTCTTTGTTCTGAATTAGAATTTAATATTCTTTGTGTTGTTAAGTTACCGTTTCTTCAGATCAGTTCTCTCTTCCATTATTCTCTGCATTAGCGCTCTTTGCGTTTGTAAGTAACACAGAGCATGCTTGTGAATACCCGGTAATTGTGAGTCTGGTCGCGGCCAGGACGAAGAAAAGGTCGGGTTATGGGCCGGGTAGTTGCGCCCCATACTGGCGGTGGTCGTGCTTGGTTCGAGTGGTCTCGCGCGGGGCGAAGTACTTGATCACTACAAACAATTGTGTGAGCACAACTAAGGACGAGAATCTCGTTCTGACAGCAGAAAACGGAAGTTGCTATCACATAACAATGGCAGACACAATAGTGTGATGATAACTATCAGCAGTCAGAACGCTGGAAGTGCGGGAGATATGCAGCACTCCATGGATGTGTTCTCCAATGCATGCAGCAACTTCGGACTCACCATCAGTACGAAGAAGACAGAGGTTATGTATCAGCCTGCACCGGCAAACCCCTACCAAGAACCTACTGTGACAGTGAATGGGCAGAAGCTAGAAAATGTGGACAAGTTTGTGTACCTAGGCAGCACTCTTTCTCGCAGTGAGCATATCGACGATGAGACCCATGCTAGAATCGCAAAGGCGAGTTCTGCGTTTGGACGTCTACGTTCATCAGTGTGGGAACGCAAAGGAGTGAGCCTATCGACCAAGCTCAGTGTCTACAAAGCCATTGTCCTCACCACACTACTATATGCAAGCGAGACCTGGACAGTATACCAGAGGCATGCCAAGAAACTCAACCGATTTCACCTCAACTGCCTCCGCAAACTGCTCAGAGTGAAGTGGCAGGACAAAGTCCCAGACACTGAAATCCTCGAGCAGACAGGTATGTCGAGCATCTTCACAATGCTCCGAAAGACACAACTCCGCTGGGCTGGCCATGTAGTCAGAATGCCAGACGAGCGTCTGCCAAAACGCATCCTATATGGAGAACTTCAGACTGGAGCACGCTCCCATGGAGGTTAGAAGAAGCGGTTTAAAGACACCCTGAAGGCCTCTCTGAAAGACTTCGGCATTAACCACAACTCGTGGGAAACGACAGCCCAAAACCGTGCAGCCTGGCGTGGAGCCATCAGCAAGGGAGCGGCAGCGTATGAATCACGGCGACTGGAAACAGCGAAGAGCAAGCGCACAACAAGAAAATCCCGTGCAAGCAGTGCTCCCGCATTTCATGACCATACAGCGCTACCTTGCCCTCACTGCCCAAGGACCTTCAAAGCGAAGATTGGCTTAATCAGCCACCTCAGGACCCACCCCACCCCCCGGATATGATGAAGAAGGTCTTCTTCCCTCAGGAAGGGCGAACACCATCAGCAGTCAGTGAAACGAGATATTTGAGCACAAGTGGTCGCGCCCCAGGCAAGCTATTCTAGCGACTTCTTAAAAATTAACCATATTGTCCCATTTCAAATAGTCTCTATTTGTGCATTGAAGAAGAAATTTATAGAAAATTGATATTGCCTAATAAACTCAGGTAGGTGACGTCGATTTAAATTTCCAGGGACTGGCCATTTATTTCCCTACAAGCTCCAGCCAATATGCCACTGGAAAATTTGAATAACCACGTGGCATGTTTCCGAGTCGATTCTTTGGACGCTATGTTCAGCATTGAGTTTTAACTCTTCGATCATTAGTGGGATGTTTCTGTTGACTATGTCCTTTAAAAAAAAGGCAATTATTGAAGGCCCTTAAGTTAAGGGAAAAGTGGTTACCCTTCATTTGTAAACTTTTGGCTTATAAGGCTTTCTCTAAACACCTTTCTTACAATCACACAAGGGCCACTCTTGACTTGTGGGGTGAGGCTCAATCCCACTGGAACCAGGCCTCTACAGCATAACATCTTCTCCTCAAACTTCTACAAAACTTTCTCAGCACGATGAGATATCTATCTGATGTGACTGTCATGGTTTTACCGTCCTTGTCCTGAAACCAGAACATGCTGATCACGTCCCTGTAGCTGAACATTGTTTGTGTGCTTAGTAAGGTTTTATGGTGCTCGCAACTGCATAAGGTCATATAAGCACCAAGAGCGAAATGCTCGCAGCTAAAGGGGTTTGAAAACAACAAACAACAGCATGAGCACCAAGGGGTAGATGTCAACAGAGAAGTCTAGGCGGGGAATCTGGCTTACTCAGCTCACCTCCCTAGCCTCAACAGCACAAAGTCTGATTCGACTATCAAGGCATCCCGGAAATAGCAGTTCACAAGAGAGTGACAAACATACAAAGAAAAAGCAGCAGTTCCCCCTAGCACAGTATGAGCATGATATTGACAAATCAGCCCATTTACAATTCTACTGTACATAAGAACATGTTAATATCCCTCCTTTGGGAATGGCCTAAAGACATCTCAGTCAGTAGCACTGCCCTGGGTGGGGGGGAGCTGAACATGGTTAAGAAGTAAAATTTTGCATCTTACCCAAATCTGGTTGAAATTTTTAAACTGTGATATTTCTCGAACATGTAGATTGATTTTCTTCATATTTACAAACTCGATATCCTCACGGTTGAATTTTATTTGTTTGAAGTTTGGTTGAAATTAGTACAAAGACGATGGAGTTATTGCCCTTTAGGTGGGTTGGGTTTTTTTTAGACACCCTGTACTTATCATCAAACACAGGAGCTTTCTTTAATCTACCCTTTTTCAAACAGCACTACGTCAGTAAACCCAGAGTACGCTTTGTGTCGAACACATAGAAAGCAATCTCCCCACAGTCCACCACAGCCCAATGGACTGCAACCCCATCTGCCTGACTCAAGATTTGGAGCTGGCATAGTTCAGGGGGCCGGCTGTTCCGTGACCTGTGGCAAAGAGACAAAACAGGGTTTTTTAAATCATATATGGCATCGTTTAAAATATCAATAAAAATAAATGGAATAATGGATTCTTATGACCCCCACAGTAAGCTCAATCAAGCTGAATTTTTGTGTTTACAACTTTTGCAAATGAATAAACAGGAAATTTAACATATTCGTCCATTTTTGGGGATATTCTCAACAACGAATGTAGGCCCTATAAACGATGAAGTTATGCTAGCACAAGAGAACCATTCACTTGAGATAGGACAATTTTCTATAAAATTTTCTTGTCAAACTGACCTACACTCCTATACTTGTATTGTCGGTTGTTTTGAACTTTTTAAACACAAAGTGAAGATTTCAGCTAAGAATAAGGTGCTGGTGCGCACATACCATTCCTTCTTCATTTCTTTTCGGGCACACATACTAGGGCATGGCCGTCCAATACGTGGCCTGTGGGCCACAATTTGGCTCATAACACCAAACAGTGTGGCCCTTACTAATCTTTTTTATATTTTAAAAACTCAATGCACTAGATGTTATTAGATTACATACTTTGACGTTGACTGGCCCTAATGTTTCTCACTGCCAATGAAAAATATTGCACACTTCTGCAATAGGGCCTTCAGTTCAAATTCTATTGGGATGCAGCATTTCCGTAAAAGCCTTTAATTACTTGTTTGCACTTTGTTTTTTATTCCTGACCTCTTCTTTATTTTTGTCTCATGTTGGATATGAGGATGCCCTGTTATCTTTGTACTGTTTAAATTATACTTTTTGTGTAGACACCAAAAATATATAAGGTTAGCTGAATTGCATAATCCTTTGTTGATTTTGAAGTACAGTCAAACTTCATTATACCCCCTCCCATTCCATAAACTCTGCTTACTGTTAGGTTTTCCCCAATGCATGAAAAGGAACACCTATATGAACATACTATTTGCCCCCTTAAACCACCATCTGCCCACGGTCTGGAGTTGTACAGTCTTTACTAAAAAAACAACGTAAATTTTCCCAGCATCACTGCAAGCAAACAGGCTGCCAGAGGTACACACTACACATGGTGTAAGGCAACCACTCAGTGGATACGCAGTGATCATCTGTTTTTCTCCTACATGTGAGCTAGCAGTTGTCACTTACTTTCTCCCTGCCAGCCCATTCCACCTCCCTATCATTGTCTTTTTTATTTCAGGCGGCATGCATTTACTAAGTAGCCTCTGATCTGAAAGTATGTGTAATTTGCAGTTTGAATTTGTACATATCCACACACACACAAACAAACAAACAGAGAGGGAAGTGTGTGGGTGTGTGTGTCTGTGTGTGTGTGTGTGTGTGTGTGCGTGCATGCATGCGTGCGTGCGTGTGTGTGTATGATAGACAGAGAGAGAGAGAGAGAGAGAGAGAAAGAGAGAGAGAAGGGGAGAAAGAAAGAGAGAGAGAAGGGGAGAAAGAAAGAGAGAGAAGGGGAGAGAGAAAGAGAAGGAGAGAGAGAGACACAGAGAGAGAGAATGGGGGGGGGGAGAGAAAGATGGGAGAGGGGGAGGGGAGGAGGGAGGGAGGGCGTGAGAGGACAAGAGAGAGAGACAGAGAGAGACAGAGAGAGAGATAGACAGAGAGAGAGAAAGCCATCTTCATGCTCATCCCAAAGTTGTCAGTATAACAAGTTTTGACTGTATTTTGAAATCAGGGGAGAGAACTTTATTTTATAATGTTTTAGTAAAAGTTTTATTGCACTTGCAAAAAAATTCGGTCAGTATAAGTGCCCAATATTAGAGGTATTACAAGAGATTCACAAACATAGAAAAGAAGGGAAAATAAAGATGATAGATGTTTAACAAGAAAGAAGGAGCAAACCACCAGCTAGAAGAGAACATTTATTTGTAGAAAGAAATACTAAGGCAAAGTATGATGTATCCATTCAAATATTTTAAAACTTCTTTCTTTTTCTAACAACAGTTCAATACAGTGCAACTGACCAGCAGAGATATTTTACAAGTCCCCCAAAAGTAAACAAAGAAAGACAGACACAGGGATCAAAGACAGCAGACAGGGAAGACACAGAGCTTTCATTTGACAGGCATCACATGTCATTTATCAGGATGGATAAAGGAGACAATAATATGTTTGTTCTAAATTCAAGTTAATTTTCTAAAAACCTAGACCACCTTCGCAAAGAACGACAAGTGGAAATGACTGAATACCCATCCAGTAGCACAGAGAAGGTAAGTGGGTAGCAATTGAGTGTACTGAATTGCATTTATAACTTGATTTTTTGTTTTAGTAAGTGTCTCACAGAACTTGCACCACAATTACGTCATGTAAGTGCTGAAGATTAGAGATGTTACAAGAAAGTAACACATGAAAAAAAGGAGAGATAAGGAAGAGATAGAAATTTAATAGGAAAGAAGGGGCAAACCACACCAGCGCACTTGCAAAGCACCCTCTGACTGGATTTTAAAAAACAAAATCATTTTATGTAACACAAAAGAAAGCCACAATCTTCACTCACTTTGACACAAGAACTCGATGGTCTGGTCTGCCTGGCATGCTCTTCTTGAATCTGCTGTCCGGCAAGTGAACATCAAAGCTCAGGTGAGAATGCTCAATGACATCATCGCTGGAAAGGGGGTGGAGAATGATGGAAAGGAGAGAAGTGTCATTAGACAGTACAGGTTTAGTAAAGATTTAGTAAGAGTTTTATGACACTTGCATCAGAATAAGGTGATAAGAGAGCCAAAGATTAGAAGCGTTACTTCTAGAGAGTCTAAGAGAGTAACACCCAAAACAAAACAAAACAAAAAAAGGAGAAGAGATAAGACGATAGATCTTTGATGTAGGAAAGAAGGAACAAACTACACTAGAGCACCTGCCCACCACCCACAGATGGTATTAAGAGGCAGAACAAGTGTTAATTCAATGTTTGTCAAAGGGAAGACTAGGGGGCCTGATTTGAAATGAGAAAGGGTTACTCATACTATCAATGTAACACATCTATTTAACAAAACTGCCTTCCTAAAACTTCCCATTTCAAGTAGATTCAAAGTCAATTAAAGGTATTTTGATCAAAAGTACAGTAGTACAGAGGTGATGAAAGAAAAAGAAAAGGACGAACATGCGTGTGTATGCGTGTGTTTTTTTGTGTTCAAATGGGAAGGAGAACAGGGTTGATGGAAGGAGAAGCAATTCTATTTTAACTTTTATGGACCTTCTTTCAAAGCACCTAACAATCAGTATTGAACGTGGATTTCAGCAAGGGGTGACTGCCTAATAACCGACTTCAAAATCCATACCTGAATCAATAGACTTTATTAAAACTAATTTATCTGATTTTTCCTCTGTTCATGCTCTTTGGGGACTGACAGTGCTGTGAACTACATGAATATAATAAGAAATAACCTGTTAAAATTCTCTGCCACTGTCATTCAAAATGATGTGACATGTGGAATACATCAGACCTACCATTTAAATTTTATGAAATCTCAAAAATCAGGATCTCGGGGGGGGGGGGGGGGATAGGGATTTTGTGAAAAAAATCGGGATCAAGGCGACGAGACGGGCATGATCGGCTTGTGCCACGATAGTCGCTTTGCGCCCTCAATCTGGCTGGCAAACTGATCCAACCCGATCCCCCGATGGGCACCCAAATACTCAGACAAGCGACAGTCGTTTTAGGCTAACGACAACAGCCAACCAACCAAAGGTAACAACAAATCTCTTATCCCTCGTATGCGTTCAGACCAAAGCAACGACAACGGCTGAGAGTTAGTCTTGTCAGCGCAATTAGCTGTGTAAGGGTCAGAACGACTGTCGCTCGTCTGAGTATTTAATGTGAACGCGCAGTTACCAGACACTCGGGCGATGCTTCTTTTGAAAGTAACAGCAGAACTACGAATATCGTCAATTATTAATTTGTATGTTCCAATTGTAATAGTTATCAGGCTATCATCGGAGAACTCCGATTGTGGACAAAGATCAAACACAACTTGGGGCGAATCAACAACTAGATTCGGCATTGATATTTCGGAAAACAATGCTCCGAGTTCCTACTGACAAAAAGTTCAACTGGTGCTTCCCGCTATAGAAAAGAAGGCAGAGTACGTTTTTAAAAATATCCAGGACAACAGCAGACTGCAACAAAAAATCGATATATACGAGATCGAAATTGAGAAAATCGGGATGGTTGAGATTTGGGGAAAAAAATTAGTATATCCCAACTAAATCAGAACAAGTGGCAGTTCTGAATACATTTAAAATGAGATGTACGGTAATTCTCACTCCAACACCAAGAACAAACAGCCTTATTTTGAGCCAAGCAGATTTACCTCACTTTGAGTTCTTTGTCATCGGCAGGTTTAACAATGTTAAGTTTCTCTAGGATGGACTCTGAAAGAGAAAAACACAAAAAGATTTCTATTATGAATCCCCTCTACAGGCATAAAGGGTATACTGTTAGCATCAAAACGTAAAGACATACGACTGGTCTTAAAAATAAATCCAAACTTTTTAACCTTATCCATACATCGTGTTTTACTATCGCATCCATACGACGTGGGGAACTCTGTGCCACCACTTTCCAAAGAGGAAATTTACTCGTTATCGCACTAGAAGTATTCTAAAAAGTAAATACAACCCCGGGGTACAAAATGTCCCTAAGGAGTACGAGTAGGGTTAAAGGAGCGTGTTAGTGTTATGTGTTTTACCAGAAAGCAAGAAACAGAGTTTTGAGAGAAGCAAAAGACTGCAAAGGCAGGAGAAAGAGGACAATGAGTCTTTTTTCCTTGGTTTAAAAAGACACAAAATTATGATCTTGAGCCAGGAAAAAGTAAGACATTTAGTCAGAAACATCAGAGCAAAGGTACGAAAGTCATGACCTATCAGAGCCATCAGCTAAGAGTTAAATAGATACATTGAAGAGCACATAACAAAGACGGCATGGAGTAAACAAACAATCCAAACCATCTTGAAGGAAAAAACAGGCAAGAAGGTAATTTCTCAGGTCTCATAAATTTAACTTTATTAACCTGAATGAAAAATCTTTCACAAACTATTGACATTTACTTCAGCAGCTTTTGATTTGAAGATTTTATAACATCTCTCACAAGGACATCCCAGCCAAAAGTCCATCATGGTCATAGAGGGGTCTTGTGAACAAGTCAGGCAGCAACATGAGAAAAAGCAGATGGCAAAAGGGCCAATTTGGACAGCTATTTTCTTTACAAATTTTCAACACATGTGTTGAGCTTCATGTTACCACACATCAAACCCATTAATCACTGTAAGCAGTAATGCTTTGAGAACTCATCACGATGAATTTCGTGACAAAAATGTTGCCCCTGGTTAAAAGATATCGCTCTTACAAATCACTCATTGCTTACAAAAAGTGACAGTGGTTCACCCAGCACATGGTAGGACAAGACCGCGACCCCAGTGCTTTCTTGTCGTAACTCCATTTTTTAAAACAGTTGAAATTTAACTTCTTCTTAAGCTCACTCCTTGTTATGAACTGTTTTCACTGGTATTAAAAATGGAGATATGGCAAGAAAGCACTGAGGTAGAGAGATGTATAAACTGCCAAAACAATACTTTTGTGTTCCGTAGAGGTAATATTCTACTTCTACATGAAATAATTTTTTAAAATCTTACCCGAACTCCAGGCATCACAAGGGTTAACAAGAGGGGTGATATCCCCCTGCCATAAGTGGCTGACAGGGGTGCTGTTTGATAATTCCTTCATTCGATCTGCAATTTTCCTTCGGTGATCTGCCCAGCTGTGAGATTTGACCACTGGTCTCCTTTGTGTCCATTCCGCAAAAGAAAAAGACAGAGCCCCTAAGCGTCTTTCTCTATCTTCTTCATGCTGGGCTTGTCTGGCTAACGGCTCCACTGGGTTCTGAAACAGTATAGTATGTATAATATCACAAAAATACTGTTCCACAAAACTAAATGACAGACTTAATAATTTTTCAAGAAACAATAAAATAAGGTTACTTTATTTTATTTTACAAACTACATTCCAGAGAGAGGAAACGAGAGAGAGAGGGAGGGAGAGAGACGGAGGGAGAGAGAGAGGAAGGGAGAGAGAGAGAGGGGGAGGGAGGGAGGGAGAGGGAGAGGGAGAAAGAGAGAGAGGAGATAGAGACAGAGACAGAGAGGGGGGAGGGAAGGGGTAAGATAGTTGGGCTAGAGAAGACATCCTTGTTGTTCTACAGGACCTTGGCACATTTCTTTCTAGTCAAACAAACAAGGCTTGTCCCTATCACACTTCGTTTAAAAACCTTAAAAATGATAACAAAACAGACCACAGGTTTCATTTCGTAACCAATACCGCAAGTTTGGGAAAGCACAAAGAAGAGTACACCAACTACTGAGTCCAGAGATGAGCATAATAATTGTCATTTAGTGTGAGGAAAAAGCAAGACCAGTGAACCTTAACAGAAGCAGGACGTAAAGAAGTAGGACCAACCTATGGCATCCTCAATCACCAGCTTATTAACCGCTACATTTCATCATATTATATTATTACTATCGAACAATTTGTTACATCGCCTCCAAATCCGAATAGCTCAAATCAATGCAGCTCAACTCATCTTCAGAAAGATAAAAGAAGCCATCTAACTTTTGAGTTAAGGGGGGATTTCACACGCTGCCTGTGAAAGATAACATTTGTTTGTAAAATTAATGTCATTCGATAGTAACAAATGAACAATGTGGAAAACCAGTATATTTGACCAAAAAGCATGAGCACATACAGTCGAACTTGCCCCAGACAACCACCCATTGTTGAGAAGAACAGTGATAATTTTAGACAGGTGGTCCTCTTGGACTGTCTTTATAATACAGGCAAAAAACACAAAGGGGAGTGGCAGTTGTACAGGTGATTGTCTAAGATAGGTCTTTAGAGAACATTCGACTGTGTATGTGTTTTATCAGTTAGCGATTTTCACTGACAAAATTTTAATACCTTTAGTCTGTAGTCGTCCACATCAAAGAACAGCATGTCATCAGTGTCTTCACTGATATGAATGTTATCTGGCAACAATTTTTTCTCTGGCAGCACCAGGGACAAAACCCGTTTGCCTGCCAAATCTGGGAACTTCACAGAGTTGTCCTGAAAAGACGTCTGCTCCAGACAGGTCTTCTTATTGTCCTGAATTTCCTCGCCTGTCCCATCTGTCCGTGACTTCTGCTTAAAACAGTCCAACCAAGCCTCAGAATAGAACTCTCTAACTGAACCACTAGGTGAGCTGGACCCTTGACTGTTTTCACTTAAAGTTTTATCACCATCCCCCTTACTGCTTGAGACATCAGATACATCTGGGTCATCAGAACGCAACTTTTTAGCATCACTGACCCCATCTGCTTGACCTGATTCTAGCTCCTCACTCTCTGATCTCAGACGCTTCTGCCCTTCCGCTATCTGCTTGGCTGAGTTATTAGCCATAGTTTCTCCACTCTGTCCCACACTCTCAACAGAATCATCCTTCACAACAGCAGCAGAATTTTCACTGTGTCCACTCTTATCAAAACTTTCTTCTGCCTCATCCAGCCGCTCCTGTGAGGAGGAAATCTGTGGGTCACACACACCACTTGGGCCTGGCTTGTCTGGCTGGGGGCGGCCACCTTTCTTTTTCCTCGCCTTCAGCGTCCGTTTGTCCAGGTATTTATCCAAATTGATCTGCCTCTCATAGTCTGTGACTAGTGGCCTGTGGAGAAGGATTTTTGTTCTTCGTAAAGACATGGAAGAAAAGCATAACAGGCATAGCAGTCCACATAAAGTTATTAGCAAAGATAAACAGTTTTGTCAGAAGACATCCTTTCTGCCAAAGGCAGACATTCAGTGCCTTATTCTTCTTTTCAATCACTTAAAATGATCGACTAGCCCAGGCCTGTGTGGTGTAATAGTTAGGCTCTTCACCTTTTACACAACACATAGGAGTTTGATTCCCAGGAGTGGAAATATTTCATCAAGTACCGCCATCATTCCTGGATTTCCCCAGACAAGCACAGTAGAAGCACCCTGCCTACGAAACCATACCCGCACATTCATATACACCCATTCTCACATATTCTCTCACACACCCTCTCTTCCACACACATATGGTATAAATGAACAACTGTTAATAATAATGTTCAAGTTAGATACCAATAGTGGAGGGCATAATTTATGTGGCATTGAACACGATCCCTCCTTCTTATCCTGGAGTTTGGGGTCCAAGTCGGTGTCTTAGGATCATGTCGTTGATTTTGCAAAATATATGCGAGTGGACAAAGCTGAAACATGTACAGTGAAGTCCACTTAAACCAAAATCTGCAGGGCCACATTTCAGTTTAAAAACGTTGCTCAAATGGAAGGAAAAAAATCTCAAGATTTTCTTTTCTTTCGGTTAACCACAGTTTTCAGATTAAAAGTGTTAGGTTTAAGCGGATTCCACTGTGTACTGTTCTGTCTCAACTTCTGTACCATAGCAAGTTCTAGACCAAACTTTTAAGGGTGGCAACTGCATCATCTCACTGCTTTCCCAGGAATTGTATCTTCATATTGGTACTTACCATCAATGTTTCAAATGCTTCAAATATTTCCTCTGGACTAGATATTTAACTGTACCTTGTTTACATACTAAAAGTCACAGTGCTGCTTTCACAGCACACTACAGCTTTTCTCAGTTGATCCTAACTGCACATTCAATTTGAACACAAGAACAATGCAGAGTAGGCCGCAAGGTGGTGAGAAAAGGCCAGAAAACAAAGTGTCCCTACAGGAGGATTGAGAACAAACACAGGACTAGCTAGTGCCATCCACCAATTACCTACTTAATGAGCAATAGAACATAATAATGGTAGAATTTCACCAGCTGGGAACTGAAAGAACAAGAAGCTACAACGAGACTTTTACTCACTGCTCCTCATGACGAACTACCACGTAACCAAGACGACGCAAGTGAGAAAACACCTGGTATTCGGTCAGACCCATCTCATCGTCGAGGAAAAGGTCATAGGCTTCTTGGATACTCATGGGGATTCCATTCTGGGATACTTCTAGGGCATTCTGTACAATACAATATTTACACAGAAAGCTAAGTTTAGATAAGAGTATTCAAAGTTCAGTGATGACAAAAGATAGTGTACTGCAAGATGATCCACACTCTAAAGAAAAGTTTCCACAGCAGTATATGAGTAATATCATTGCTGTCACCACCATTGCTGAGAAAAACATTTTGTTTTGTTTAGAACAATCTATGCTCCTATTCTTTGAACACAAGATTCATTACTCCCCAAAAATGCTAGCTAATTATTTGAATCATTAAAAAAAGTTTTCAAATACTGTAGTAACCCAAACTTCATTTACATATTACTATCTATGAAGAATCAGGATTTAAATTACCACAATTTGAGTAAAGTTGAAAGAAAAGCACACTGACGCAATAACAGTAACAGTCATTTAGGGTAACAAAGAGTAAGACAGAGACAACATAGGGAAAGAAAAGAAGCAGGACCTACCAGCCACCTATCCAACCACCCACAGAAAGACAGTGAAAAACAGAACTGACAAGCTCAGTACAAGCGCGGAAAATAAGGATACAAAAACATTCATTATCAAAACACATTCCTCAATGACTCGTCTTGTGTTCTAGTACTACAACAATCATCCTTGCATCAACATTGACAAAATTCATAATTAAGCACACTTATAAGTATTTCATAATACTTGCACAAAGTCTGCCGGCCTAAAAAAACACAAAGTACCAAGCAATGTGATACCCAAGTGTCCCTTTTTCAATAGTATCCGTTTGGAAAAGAAAACCAGCGCTCAATGACAAAGTACACAATGCATTTTTTAAAATGTTTGTGCAAGATGGTGGGGTTCTGACTGAAAAGTATAGATTCTGAAAAAGGGAATAATTCCATAAAATCCAGGGCTCTGTCATCCAGTTGGGGGCTGTGTTTGTCCTTCAGACATAAAATCTAGCGAACTTCCAGGAAAAATATTTGACCAAAGATGCAGTATATCAATTAATTGAAATTAGCAAGTGCCACTAGTGATGAATGACTGTGCATATGATTCCTTTTTTTTAACAAACATGAAATCATTAATTATACACAAACGTCTCACTTTAAGCAGATGAAATTTTTCTAAGTTTTTGGGGTTTTTTAAAACTTACAATTTCCATCAGAAAAAGAGCTTCTTCTGGGTAGAGCCAATTTCTTCTCTTGTCTGTGAACCCCATGTGACTCCAGAACTTTCCCTACACAGAGAAGAGCATGATGGGAAAAAATATATATACTTAATAGTGAAAAGTTCTATGCTGAAATGTTAAGAAGTTATTCACGTTGTTAGAATGACAGGATGCATAGTTTTGAGAAAATGGATTAAAGATTCACACTCTTACAGCAAAAATGTTTTTATATCTTATTAAACTTGGTTAAGTGTCAAAACGAAAAAAACCCAACATAACAGATTGTTTTAGGCCTGTGCTACAGTGCAAAGCATTTGTGTCAGTAATAATGCGTTGTGTGTAATTCAGGTCTCGCAAATAGGGGAGTAAGAACCCTGTCATTCTTAGGCATACCTCCCTAGTTCAAGATCCCAAGATGTGTAAAAGAAAAGATGGTTTTGAGTAATTTGAGACAAAACAGTGTAATCACACACGCACAGGTAGATTTTTGGATGCTCTGATTTGGACAAACTTTGCGCACTCATTAAGAAGAGGCCTGATCCAGATGTTGCTAGTTAATACCGGGCCTATCGCACGTCATGTACGCAGCACTGCAAAGCGAATGGGAGATCATGGCAAATCAGCCCGGCGACAAGCCTCGTCCAAGCCTGAGTTGGCGCTGTACCTCCGTCATTTGGTGTAATTAATTAACATTTTACGGACATCAAACCGGCTAGTCTGAGGTTGGGAAAAATGTGCAATTTTCCCCACATTTGAGTACTTCCATAAACGGGGCCGTTTTTGCATAATAATTACACAAAAAGGGTAAAACTAGGGAGGTATGCTTAGGGGGCAAATTATATATTTAATCATTACTCTGCTACTTATCAAAACAAAGGGGAAAAAATTGTGAACACCAACATTTCTTCAGTGCATGATTGTGATGTCTTTGATGAAGAAATACATCAACAAAATATATAATTCCATCAACACACAAGGCCAGCTTGTTAACCGTGAACAACTTACCGGTTTATCCACATTGACAAGATTTTTACTATCATCCCAAACACCATGCACCAGGTTCTTTCTGAAACAAAAAACAAACAAAAAATTTAATTTAAAAAGTTCAGTACATTTACTCCCACGATAATACACCAGTATCAAGAGGCAGAAAGGGCTGGAAAAAATATTGAACACATTTTAGAAAGGGTTAACAGAACTGACACTGCTCGCCAGTTGTACAACTGAATGCCTCACCTCACTTATAAAGGTCACAGTAATATGATACTGTGGTTTTAGCATTAAAAAATATCCCAGTTCACATACATGTTCTAGTAGTATTAAAGGAATAAAACATTTCTTTATAGTCCCCTTCCCCCCTCCCCAAAATTTTCAATTGGACGCCCACAACAACATGCCGATTCTAAATCTTTTTTTGTCAGTTCATGATCATTACAAAACAATGTGGGATAGTAGCCTGCAAAAAACAACAAAAAAATCATTCCAATGAAAAAATGAATTCTCAAGTTATTTGTTTAGTCGATTTTATGCTGTAGATGTCTTTAAGAATATGTGTCACGACGCAGTGGAATCAGGTGTTCGTCAATTTTTTGGGCATATAAACTCGCCCAAAAAAGTCAAGGAACAGCTTGTGTTTTCACCTGTCAAATTTAAACTTCAATATCTCACAAACTCGTAAAGATCAGTCAACCAAACTTGGCACACGCACTGTCGACCAGGGTTGGTGATTTCTTTGATTTTTTAAATAAAAATCAAAAAAATCGATTTTTAAAAATTTAAATCGGATTTTTTAAATTTAAATCGGATTTTTATTTTTTGTTGTTGATTTTTTAAAAAACGTGGACACAGTTTGGGATTTTTGGTTGCTAAAAGTAAGTTCTTTTAGCGCAAAATGCATTTTCTTTATTTTAACTAATGATTAATTTAAGCAAGTGCAATTTTAGAAAGCCTTAATCTGCTATATCAGTGAATTATGGCTGCAGACAAAAAATGAAGAAAATGTCAGTCTAAAAGGAAGGGAGGGGTTGGGGTAATTATGCATAGATAAACTTGCATTTTATTACAGTGTGTGTGTGTGCGCGCGCTTGTGTTTGTCTAAAAAGAAAAAGAAAATGCTAATTTCAATTATGAAAAAAAAGTAAATTAATACAGTATTATTTTACTACTTACAGTGACAGGGGGGAAAGCGGACTTTTAAGCATGATTATTTTAGTCTACTAAACCTTATATCTGTTTTATAAAATCAAGGAAAGGAATTCTGAATGTTTATAGATGTAAAAACAGAATACATTTTTTTAAAGTGATTTAAATCACTGAGTTTTATTTTCAAAATCAAGTTGATTTAATTTTTTTTAAATCAACTGATTTAAATCGACTTGATTTAAATCAACCCAACCTTGGTTTTCAATTATGAAAAAAAGTAAATTGAGAACTGTATTATTTTACAGTGACAGGGGGGAAAGCAGACTTTTAAGCATGATTATCTTAGTCTACTAAACCTTATATTGTTTAATAAGACCAAGGAAAGGAATTCTGAATGTTTAAATATGTAAAAACTGAATACATTTTTTTGAAAAGTGATTTAAATCACTGTTTTTATTTTAAAAATCAAGTTGATTAAAATATAAAAAATCAACTGATTTAAATCAACTCAGCTCTGATTTCAATTATGGAAAAAAAAGTAAACTGAATACTGTATTATTTTACAGTGAAAGGGGGGAAAGCAGACTTTTAAGCATGATTATATTAGTCTACTAAACCTTATATCTGTTTTATGAAACCAAGGAAAGGAATTCTGAATGTTGAAATGTGTAAAACCTGAATAAAAATAAATTTTTTAAAAAGTGATTTAAATCACTGATTTTTATTTAAAAAATCAAGTTGATTAAAATTTTAAAAATCAACTGATTTAAATCAACCCAACCCTGCTGTCGAGTAGACACAGTTTGCCTGTACAGCAAATTTGCCCGCACCAGCTTCACGGTGACAGCGCAGGGCATTCTGAAACACAGTCGAAAATCATGAAAAATGGGCAAAATTTCTCTGCTTCAGCAACATTGGCATAGGGACTGTTAGCTAAAACTAAGCTTGGTACGTGCTAAACAGATGTCTTAGCTGTGATTATTGCTCCCTTACAACCATTTATAAGGCAGCGATTTTCAGCCACGTTTCATTACAACAAGATGGTCCAACGACGCTCGCTGCCTGACATCGACAGAGGACGAGTCCTTGCCTGGCTCCAAGATGGCTCCACGTTCCCAATTGTTGCACATCGACTTGGGGTGTCCCCATCAGTCATATGGAGGCTGCAAGAACGATGATGAGCGACCAGAAGGGTCCAAGACAGGCCTCAACCAGGGTGCCATGTTTGACCAACGACAGCATCGACCGGTTCATCGTCAGACAGGCCGTGACGTCACGAACCACTACTGCAAACGGCACCAGGGACCAATTATGGGTGACAGCCAATGTCCACGAGAGCGAGGAGACGGTAAGGAATTGTTTCCGTAGAGCCAAGTTCGTTTCTCGTGTCCCTGCCAGGCGCCCAAGGCACACGCTGCCCCACACAGCAGCTGGTCGGGCGTGGTCTGTTCGCCATTCACAGTGGATACAATGTCAGTGGGACCAAGTAGTCTTCTCGGACGAATCCAGATTCAACCTGCAGCACCCAGACAGGGGATCCCACGTCTGGAGGCGCCGAGGAGAGCTGTTCCACCCTGAGTGCATCCAGCAGGTGGCGCCCTACAGTGGAGGGCCCGTTCTGGTGTGGGGAGGCTTCTCAGCTCACCACAAGACCCCCTGTACCATATACAGGGAAATTTGACCGCGGCAAGGTACAGGAAGGAAATCCTGCGTCCCCCTTGCTGTTTCTTTCCTGCAACAGATTGGACCCCAGGCTGTACTGCAGGACGACAACGCGCACGCATCGTTGGGGACTTCCTGCAGCAGCGACCTGTCACCCGCATGGACTGACCAGCTTGTAGTCCGGATTTGAACCCAATAAAGAACATTTGGGATCCCATTGACCGGTGGATAAGAGACAACCACCCTCCTGCACAAAACCTTAAGCAACTCTTGGCTACCTCGTCCAGGAGGGGCAGAACCTACTGCAACAAGTCCTTCGAAGGCATGTCCTGTCCATACGTTGACGCTGTGCCGAGTGTTTGATCAAACGGGGTGGCTACACCCACTATTGACCATGTTCATGAAGAACTATGGCTGTTCAGACTTTTGAAATCCGACCAGTGTGACTTAAACTCATTTTACATGAACTTCTCGTTTATGTTGAAATCTGAAATTGTACACACTTAATCTAAAGAGTCGAAAGCAACTTTTTGGACAAAATGAATAAATTTGGTTAAACTGTTCTTCAGTTATCTTTCTTTGAATTTTCGTTCCTTGACTTTTTTTAAAATGCGAGTTTATATACAGTAGTCTCCGCCTCGGATCCCGGTGCTTGGGAGCAAGGAAAATGGGGGATCTTAGCCGAATGGCCAGGGGGAAGAATCCACAGTAACTCATGGTCAGGCCTAAAATCTGTACAATGATCTTCCCTTACTTTAAAAGGGACTGACGTTACTCCAGGGCACTAAAAGTTCTTTTCAGAAGTCAATTTTTCCTTTTTTTTAATTTTGGGGGCGGGGGGTGGGGCTTTTAAAAAAATACTGTGTCAGACGGGAACCAGTTGGCTTCAAGCAATGCCCCACACCAAAAATGTATTGCTTTCCATCTCTAATGGAGTTCCCCGCCCATGTCATGATGCATCATAAATCGTTGTGTTATGACCAAACTGACCAAATTTTTAAAAAATTGAAAGGCAGGTTCACTGCCAACAGATGACCCCATTACGCAGAGGCGATCGGACAGTCCATGAGTATGGGCGCCAGTCTGTCACAGTTAGGTTGATCCCAGAGTGGCTCTGTAGGTTTGACCTGTAGCTCGTCTGGCTCGCACCGTGCAAATGAATGTATACATTATCGTGTGCTAAAGCAGCGTAGCTGTATCGTCTGTTTTTTGTCAGCAGAGCTGTGCAATGCGTCAGATGTGCTATTCAACAGTGTTGTAAAAATGGCGGACATGCATCACCTCGCTTCGTGTTTATTTTTGACTGAAAATCACAGATCATCAAAATCAACAAGAAGTAAGTATTATTAGGTGCTTTACTATTAAATATTGATGCTAGTATCAACACTTGACCACAAAATTACCAAGAAATGCACTTTATCATACTTTGAAACTTCGAATCGAGAGGTTGATCTAGTTTCGACTGTTGTCGTAGGCCTAGGCTAGGCCTAGATCTAGGCTAGGTGTGCTTCTCTAGATTGAGATGCAGAGGGATATCCCTAGATTTAGATCTACTTTTCGAACTGCATACCCTTGGCTGGGTGCACAACAAAATCTAGATCTAGATCTAGATCTACATTTATTCATTAATTAATACTCTCTCTCTCTCTCTCTCTCTCTCTCTCTCCCTCTTTCGGCTAGACATGCCGCCCGAGATGATTAGCAGATCTTGATCTATAGCCTTTATTTGTAACTAATGTAAGCTATCGCCGTTCGCAGCTGCAAGTGTGTTTGTGGGGGGGGGGGGCACTTGGCACATGACGTAAAGAAGAGTTGTCCAGTCTTGGTATAATTGGTCTTGGATTACACAGTACCTAAATATAGCAAGGTAGACCCGTCAGTTGCACACCTACACACGTCAACACACAGTGCGGCAGTCTGACGCTTGCTTGTAGGCCCTCCCTACCTAGTGTGTGATGTAAGATCAGGCGGACGGCTCAGGTGATCCGGGAAAGCATGGCATCGACGATTTCACACTTTGGTGCGATCCTGTCTGGTGCAAACATTGTAACTGCTTATCGAGATTTACAACAGAGGCGTGATCACATTCATGAGAGTGGATGATTCTTGATGCGACAGACCGTACAATGATCGCACATCTTTGCAACTTGGTTGACCAGCTGAGCACGCCAAGGTTTCTTATTCTTCTTTTTTCTTAAATAAAGTAAAAAATAACTAAAATTATGACCTGAAAAGCAGGATCTTAGCCGAATGTAGCTCCTTCAGTGCGGGATCTTAGGGGTTTCTTTTATAAAGTAAAAATTCTGTTTTTCCAAAGCAGCGAGATCTTAGGTGAACCGGGACCATAAGCGGTGGGATCTTAGGCGGAGACTTCTGTATATCGCTCTCTCTCTCTCTTCTGGCGCTGTGGCATCATAAACGGTCAGCAATGCCGACAGCACGCAGGAACTCAACACTTGCTCAGGGGTCCATGAATAGTGCTGAGCGGGGGTCACTAAAATGTCCCAGCAGACGTGTTGGCATATATATATGGAGTTATTGATGAAAGAAAACAACAACAAAAAACCCATTTATTTTCAAAAGAAGTCGAAATACTTGCGACTGAAGGAGACAGGGGTCACCTGATGTCAGAGGTATCCTAAAATTAGCGAGAAAATGGATGCTAAATCTTGAGTGTTCTTGAAAAAGAACTGCATTTTCTTTTTTCTTTTTGGTCTTTGACTTGTGACTTTAATATTTTTCAGTAAAATCTACACAGAAATTATTAAATGTGTTTTTAAACGGACATAAAAGGTTGATTCAAATAGAGAAAATTTTTAAAAACAAACTGCCCAACAGCCAGAAAAATGGCCACTTCTTTTTTATTTCATTATTTTGACGAGCGCCTGATTTCACCAGGATGCCTCACATATATGGATGCAAGAAAAAGTACCCCGGTACTCTTGGGAAATCCATGACAGGAGTCTGTTCGGTCTGTGTTCAGTGATAAATTATCATATTTCAACAATGCTGTATCATATCATCTACTAACTGCTTAACTGGCCCTCCAGGAAATCGCGGTCTTGCGGCCGCACCTGCGGACGCGTTTTTCGTCGAGTTCCGCAATTTTCACAATTTCTTGCAATTTTCTGCAAAAATACATCAACGTTTTAATTTTAACCGAATTTTTAATACGAAATGGTGCTAGTAGAGAGCCGATAGGCCTACGTAAATCATGGTATCGGCCCAGCTCAAGCCTACTGAGCGTACTCTAAAAGCTATACTATAACTACTATAACCGGAAATTCAGGCCGGAATGCATCGTGGTCAACACAAACTGAGACATAGGCTAGGCCGAGAAGGTGTTGAAGGCAACACCGGATGACAAAAACTGAACTTGGAATTCTTAACTGCCCGGTTTCCATGTACGTGACACTGAGACTACGTGTCCGCGTACCGTGTACGTAAACACCCCCTTATGTAAAACGCCTTAAGCTGCGTTCACACGGGAGTGGGTGCTATAGAAATGATCTAGATCTCCATTAGTACATGTATTACTATTGTTTATAAATGGGAAAAAAAAATTGCTGTATTTTACCATTTGACTGAGGGTTAAAACAATACCATGCCGGTTTTAAAACATAAAATATCTGAAATAGATCTAAATACAGATTACCGGTGTATCGAAGGTTTCAAGAGAAAAATAGAACAGGATCTGATTTGATTGGAGCATAAGCTTATTTTGAATTTAGAGGTTGTTTCCAAAATCTCTCACCAATTTTTTTGTTTTTTATAGACTAAACCTCATACACTTCTAGATTTTTGCATGAACCAAGTACCCGGTCTGTACTAAATTTGGTCAAATTTTATGCCTTCATTTAAAAGTTATTACGAAAACCGAGGGTTCCGTTATTTTGTGTTCCGTGTTATCATATTATATTTGGTTGATATCTTTATTGTTAACGTACTCGTGTGTTGTTACTAGTAAATGTTAATAGCATTTGATGAATTTGTATTGTTTGTCATGATTTTTTAAAAGGCTGTGCTGCTTTTATGCTACCTGTACTCAAAATTGTCATATTTTTTAAACTAAAAATGTTAAACCCGTATTAATGCGCCTGGGATGGGATGGTTGCAATTTTTTGCAATTTTCAGGCGGTTTACCTTGCAATTTTTTGCAATTTTTCTATTTCAAAAATGCAATTTTCCGCGAGGCCAGGATTAAGAAACACAGATATCTCAATGGTACACCAATAAAAGACAATCTCGGCTTTACATACACTGCATTGCAAAAATCATACAACAACCAGTAGAATATTATATCACATTTCAAGTTTGAAAGAGCTACTGAATGGCATGTCAACCAAACAAAATAAGGCAGACATGAGGAAAAAAACTTACAATTTCTCAACTCGAGGTTCACCAAGCACTGAAGTCCTCTCTTGCAGAAAAGCCTCCAAGGCTTTCGACTCCATCCAGGTTCCATCAGGTTCGAAGTTCTTTTGGCCTCCTTTGGATGGAACTGTGTTGTCTCTCTTCACACGATACTTGAACAGACTTTTAGCACTGGAGAGCACATTATCAATTTTAATTACCATTGAGATAGAAAAGGGATCCACCTTCAATACAATACAATTCAGTAAACATATAAGAACAACCTTTGGACATACCCCCCGGGGCAGTGCTACTGTCTATAGGCCATTCCCAAAGGGGGGACATTTCTCGTTCAAGCATAGTAGAATTGTAAATGGGCTGATTCACGTCACGCTCATAACTGTGCCTGATCTACAACAGGGAACTGCTGCTTTTTTTTTCCTGATCCTTACTACTGTCATTTTCCTCTACTTTTTTTGTATGTTTGTCATTCTCTTGTGACCTGCTATTTTGGGGTGCCTTCATAGTCGAAGCACTGCAATCATTGAGTGTGTGAACCTTCTCGTGAGGAAAACAACATTTTTTTAAAGCATTCCCCCCACACATGACCAGTTTACTCCAGCCCCTTGACAGGGTAATCTTCAAACCTTTCAAGAGTCACTACAGCACTATGTGCACAGAGTTCATGTCAAGGGCATCTGGCAACACCATTGACAAGAAGACATGGCCGGGACTCTTCAAACTCGCCTGGGATGCTACGATGAAAGAGCCACTAATTATCAAGTCCTTTCAAGACTGTGGGATCTATCTGTTCGCCCTAGCGTCATTGAAAAAATTGAGGCACATTTTAAACCAGCTCAGGCTATGAGCAGCAAGCCCTCAAGCCACACAAGAACCATGCTCTTCCATTCCATCGCCAACACTGAGCAGCACATTTCATTCTTCACCTGATGAACCCCCCATGCCTATTCCTTCTGCATCATCACTGAGAAGCACATTCCCCCCTGATGAATTCCAGCCCTACATTCCCTCTTCAACAACTGCAGTCTCCACTGCAACATCAACAAGCACATCTTTCCCAGAAGAGCCATTTAGATCTACAGTGGAAACCATATATAACAGGCCCGGTAATAACAGGGATCCGGTAATAACAGGGAATTTATAAATCCCCGTTTTTTCCTAGTCTTTGTCTCTATTAAAAATTATCGGCAATAACAGGGCCTCATCGGATCCCAACCGGTTATAGCAGGGACAAAGGCTCGTTAACAATGAGTAAAAATTAAGAGAGAGAGAGAGTAACGCAGTGATGGGGCAAGCCCACGCAAGCCATGCCTCTGTAAGCACACACCGCATGTGAAGCGAGAGAGGGATGCGGTGTGCTGCAGACCTCGATCTAGCCCGAAACCTAGCAACACGCACGCGTAATATGTCACCAACGATGCCAAGCGCAAGAGAAAATGCCTTTCAATTGACAAAAACTTCGAAGTAATCCAGGCTGTTGACTAAAGTAAAAGCAAGCTCCACTGGCAGAGATTTGTCGTTAGTTCGACATTCCACAAGGGTCGATTAACATCATTATCAAGGATAGAGAGAAGATAGTGGCAGCATACTCCAATGGAAAGTTTGCTCTGGATCGAAAGAAGATGAGACTACCCTATACAGATGCTGTGGACCAAGCTTTTTCTGGTGTGGTTTAAGGAGGCAAGGAGAAATTTGGTGCCAAAACCCCTGTTCGTGGGTACTTGTGGCACGGGAAACTACTCATGAATAAGTACAGCTGGATTAGTCCACATAAATGCTTACTTTATTTGCTTTTCTGTTATAACAGGGATCGGATATAACAGGACATTTTCTCTACTCCCATCATCCCTGTTATATCAGGTTTCCACTGTACCTCCACACAGCCATTGTAATTGCACACCACAGAAACATCCCCCTCCGAGGAACTGTTGCGAACTGAAACACTCCCCGAATTAACCCTGGAAGAACTAGGCCTAGTTCCCCTTGAAGACACCAGCCAAATAGGCCGATGTGACATTGACATCCTGGAGCTTGCCATGATGGAGAGTGGCATCGATAAAAACGGAACCGCAATGGAATTCGACTTTGTTCCTCATCCCAAAGGCCCCTCCGCGGAAGGAAGTACACAATAGCAGAGCCATAACCACACATCGTGACCTCACAAGTGATGACATCATTAGAAGTAAGCAGGAGAGGGAGGAGTTCCAGAAGAAAGTGAAGGAGGCTGCGGCAAAGTAGGAAAGAAAAAGGGCTAGGGAGGAGAAGAAGTTGCAACAAAGCAAAAAACAAAAGAAATAAGCTGAATTAAACTGCTTTTCTTCTAATCTTGATTTTGAAAGAAAACTGCGCTCTGGCTTTCTTTTGTCAATATTTCTTTGTTCGTTTGTTTCGTTTTTGTTTGTTTTTTTACAACTTGAAACAAAACTGTGTTTTGGCTTTCTTCTGTCAATATTTGTCTGTTCGTTTGTAGTTGTTTCTGTTTGTTTTAATATCATAGTAATTAATAAAAACAAGCAGCACAGTAACATATCATATAAACAGTTGTTGTTACCATCACACAGGGATAATATAGATGTAATACGGTAATTTAATGTTAATAGCCCCACAGCCGTATCCAGTCACAGAATACGGACGTCAAACTCCAACTTGAGGAAAGCCGTAAAGGCCTTGCCTGCAATACGGCATGGGATTCAAAATCCAGATCAATTGGAATGAGTATACAATTTGGCCTACCATCAATTTTCTACCACTAGGCCCTAGATCTCTAGGTAGGCAGGCTAACATTGTATTGGGCCCTTGGAGGGTTAAAAAAAGTGGAGTCTCATTTGAACTCTAGCCTCATCCTATCGTAGACGGACGTAAACAAATAGATCTAGGTTCCATCCCTTATTTTACTGTGTAAATCAGAAGAACATACAAACGAACAGGGAAAGTGTTAGGCCTAGGCTGGGGGTCTTGTCTACGCCTGTGGCAGACACTGCCGAAATAACACACCCCTGCTGAACAAACACCACCCACTATGCCGAAAGTTAGACCCCCCCTGCCGAAGTTGCACCCTGGGGCTGGAATTTGCATATTTTGGTAGTCAAAAGACAGACTTTTTAGAACTCTTTCATGGAAAAGAAAATAGATTACGCGAAAACCGTTTGAAAATATCTCAAACGAGAAGCCAATGGCAAAGCTTAAGTTGAGGTTACTGAAAACTGAAACCAACCCTGCCGAACTTCGACCACTTAACCTTAAGTATTGATTTTTCAATGCTAAATCACAGCACCAGTTTTTAATCAGCAACAAGCAGGCATCCAATATATATAGAGAGAGCTTTCCGAGGGTTGAAAATGGCATTTTCTCATTGCCACTATTCAATTTGTTACCACTGACAAATCTTGAAGTGAAGATACAATCACCAAGCCTGTTCTCTAATGTTCCCTCATTTATGCACTCGATTGTCGAAGGTCAAAACCACTTCCACTTATCATTTTTATTTAGGATCAGTTTCTTGCACCTCGGCCTTTTATCCTGCTGCCGTAGACTTTATCGCGTCAAACACCTCCCCTCAATTCCGAAACCCTGCAATGCTCCTACTTTGAATGAACTTTGATTACCCCAACAACCACCAGCCGGTCCCTTACTCATGGCGTACTCACACAATGCGAACTCGCACAGGTTCACTGACCGGTCACGATGACGGGCCCGACAATCTAAAAACCAGGGGGCGCTGACTTTCTTTTCCTTTCTTTTTTTTGTCATTGTAGTGACAGCAGTGAGAATATCGATTTAATTTGTATGGCTGTGTTTTTTAACTGATTCCGTCCATTCGGGGCTGACAGCGGCTCTGAGTTTTTCCGCTGCCTCCATTCGGCCGCTGTGAGCGGCTCAACGAAATCCTAAACAAAGGTGCGCTTTTTAACATAGTTCCTACTTTTAAGTTGTCAAAAGGAAGTAGAACTTGTAAACAAACCTGACCCCAATCTCTGAGCGCCAATATCGATCGAAACTCCGCGAAATTCTTGCAAAAATCGTTGTTTTGTTTTCGTGATGTAGGCTAGATCTAAGGGTAAAGAACACGGAGCCTGGTATAATAAAAAGGCTCTTCAAAGAAAGATATTCACCTAAATTTGTGAAATTCTTAAATGTGTGCTAGGGTGATATCGCTACAATGTTGTGTTGATTCCTATGGATTATAAGGACTTGAAGAGCTGAGAAAATGCGGTAAGTCGAAATGTTCGAAGAGCTATTGCGCAATTTTTTTACGAAGTGACTATTTCTCCAAACGTTCGGAGAAATAGTGCCCATCTTTATTTCTCCGAACGGTTTCCGGCTTCCGGTCTCGTGATTTTTTGCCTATTTATTGCGAGAGTTCGACGCCAACTTTCATTCTGCCTCTGGTCTGGGAAGCCCGCCTACAAACAACCTTCAGTAACACCCACCACACTCCCACCACCATCATGCACATGTACACACACAAACTTATTCACACACTAACTAAACATGACCAGTGGGCAACTTTTGAACGTATGACGAGCTGAGCTGTGGATGGAGAGACAGTGTGAGTGAAAGAGCGGGTGAAAGGAAGAATGTACGAGTGTATCCACAGGTGACAGCAACTACAACTACAAGACGACGACACCGACCCCCCTGGCCTGGTCCACAGCTCACAAATGAAAGTAATGCAGCTCAGGCAGTGTGTTGCCTATATTATTGTCCATGGTTCGCAGGGTGCAAGGGAATGAGTGAGATTTTCTTTGTGTGTGCCTGGGGTGTGAAAGTCATGCGGACGGGGATGAGCTGCGGGAGAGAACACGGGAATTGAATGAATGAGTGAAACTGAAAGAGAGGAACGACTCATGAGCCGTGGAGTGAATGGATCCTGTGTTTCTATTTTTGTATACTTTGAACTGTTACTGAATGAAGGCTGAAATAAAGCCCGAAAAACAAATAAACACACACTCCTCACTCTCCACTTACACACTTACTACCACACACAGACACACTCACACACGCACACACACACACACACACACACACACACACACACACACAGGAGCAAATTTTTGGGTCTATATCTATTTCAATTTTCAAGAGCTAGTCTAGAGATTTTTAGATGAGTGTAAAAACGTGAAAAAGAAAGGTTTCACAACAGAATGAAATCAAAATTAGAACAGCCCATGATAAACAACAAACATTAACAAATAAGGGCGTGTGTCCACCTGTCCGAAGAAGATTTGCTGTTTTAACCCTAAATGTGCGTAATTAAAAAAAAAAAAATACAGGATATTACATGTAAATTATGGAATCACACACATTAAGGGGCCTGCCAGTGTCAGTACATTATTGGTCGCGGCAGTGACCACCGCAGATGCCAGTTCTATGTGTCGTTATCAATAACCCTCCGTAGATCTAGATTTAGATAGCACACGAGTGAACACAACACATTACGTTTAAGAGCAGCCTAGCAACCTTCATAGGCAACACGTCATATTCTGTAGCGAAAAACTGTTTGGAATTGTAGCATTCTTTATATAAATATTTACTGCGAACATTTTTGGGACCGATTGAACCATATTGTATACGAACAATCTTTGGTAGGCCTATACTATAATTATAGATCTATATAATATCCGAAATTTGCGGGAAAGGATGTGATTTCAGAGTGTTCGGAGAAATAGAGCCCAGCTTTATTTTCCCGAACGTTCGGAGAAATAGTGCCCAGCTTTATTTTCCCGAACGTTCGGAGAAATAGTGCCGGCCATTTTTTTATCTCATTCGTTTTTGTCAGAAGGAAAATGCAATACAAACAGATAATAAGTCATTGTTATTTATATATAAACAGATTCTTCTATTTATTCCCATCAGTTTGATATGACAATACCTATTAAAGTAACTTAGAGCTTCACAGTAATGCATTAAAATAAAGGAAGAGGCTAGCCGTACTTAATGACGGCTAGACTGCACTGAAGTACGGCTAGACTCAGAGTCTAGCCGTACTTATTCTTAATATGATAGCTAGACTGACCATTTACAAAAAGAAAGTGGCTATTCTCACCCGCCCGGAAGTTCTCGCAAGATCTACTCCTCCCCTCTTCTCTCTCTCTGTGTCTCTTTCTGAATACTGTCTATCGGTGTGGACGATCAAATTGACCAAAACAAAGTTTAAAAATGATGTTAAAACACAAAAGTAAATTAATTTGGTTGTCTACAAAGATTCTACGGCTATCTAACTTTTCGAATCGAGCCGAACTACGCGGGTCGCCATTTTGTTTTGTTCTCTCTCTCACTCTCTCTCTCTCCCCTGCCCACAGACAAAATTGTACGCTTTTAGTAGGCTACAAGTACAGTTGTAATGGAACGTTTGTTCACAGCACAGAATTCTACAATTTTTCTCTTATCACAGTGTAGAATTCTGTGGTTTAGGGTGAACGCAAAATTTTTTGACACGCGCACCGGGTGAGAATAGCCACAAGACCCGCCTGCACTATTCTCACCCCGGGTGAGAATAGAGGTGGCCACAAAAAATAGGCCTACTGAATTGTAAATATACATTTTTAGAGTGCAGTACCTAAAGTATTTGTATTTGAGACGAAACCAGGTGCCTTAATGACAGTGCATGTATTTTAATCCTCCTGTTTTCTAATGTTAATAGGGCCTAAGATAAGTACGGCTAGACTAGCAGTCTAGCCGTACTTAAGTACGGGCAGACAGCCAGGCTAGCCGTACTAAAGGACGGGTAGACAGCCAGGCTAGCCGTACTTAAGGACGGCTAGACTGTCAGGCTAGCCGTACTTAATATTGATGGCTGAATTGTAAATGAAATTTTTAGTTTGCAATGCCTAAAGTATTTGTATTTCAGACAAAACCAAAAGGTGCCTTACTGACTTGCATGTATTTGAACCTGAATAATTACCAGATCTAGATCTAATGAGACCTGTGTACTTAACAGGTTTGAGTCAATTGGGCCAAACCTAGATCTAAGTACGGCTGGACTGGCAGTCTAGCCGGCGCTTTTTCGGTAGTTCCCAACCCGCAATTGTTATTCACGGGTTTTGGCCCCAAGAGTAGCGGGGTTTCAAGGGGGCTTGCCCCCCTGACCTAACAAAATAGAAAGGGGGGTTTCAGGGGGGCATGCCCCCCTGAATTTTACCACAATTTAATGTTTTGCTGTTGTTAGGTTTGATATCTTAGCTCACTGCGAATCAAACGTAGCCTATAGATCTAGATCTAGAAGTAGGTCAGTCTAGCTGTACTTAAGTACGGCTAGCCACTTCGTTAGATAGATGCACCCAAGGTCTAAAACTGAACAGGGAAAAATAATTCTGTCCAGAGCCTGAAAAAATCATGGACGGAATCAGTTAAGCACAAACTGCATGTCACAAAATTTTATTCTGTAAATCTAACATTAACAAACTACCATCTGACAAATATGAGCGGTAAGGAAAGCGAAAGTAGATTTTGATTGTCCCGATGAAGTCTCAGTATTACACCTACACTCACTCTGTCTCAATTAACGCCGTATTAATTGTTACAGTCACTCTGTCGCAATTAACGCAGCGTTAGTTGTCACAGCATTACTGTTCCAATTAACGCTACCACAAATACGGTAGCCGGAAAGAAGGGGGGTCCAAATAATAATCTGATTAATCACACCCACAGGGTCCGATTAATGACACCTAGGCTAGGCCTAATAACAAAACAAACCTTCTTACCAAGTTTAGGCTAGGCTACTAACCTGAGAGCAGCGTCCTTAGTCAGATCATAAAAGGATTTTGCAGCCATTGTAATGTTGCTGATTCAATTGCTTTCCAACAAACTCAATTCTCTCACCGAACTGAGTCTCCTCAGGGTCCCTCCTCAGTCTCACTTGAAATGGTAGAAACCCATTCATGCAGTGTAGATCTAATGAAGACTACTCTAGATTCTATTAGTCTAATCACAATGAGTGGAATGTAGAGCCGCGGGTGCTAAATTCAACAGTGTTTCTCGTGGAAATCTTGGAAGGCTAGAGTCTACTGCTCTCACTCTTTGATTGGCATGAGTTTTCCAATATTGACATAAACTAACCCAGTGGTCACAGTTTAGATCTACAGAAGGTGGGAACTAATATGATTAGCCTAGGCCTTGATAAAACGGTGCAATGTCGGCTTGTTTAGCTCATAATGAAAGTAGAATCTAGCTCGTTTTCCTGGACTGAGGACTGACTACTGACTAAGTCTGACTTGATGACTTGAACTTGTCGAGGAAAATGCCAGGTCGTTTAAGAGAAAAAAGGCCGATCTGATAACTGAAAAAAAAACATTTTTCCTTTTCTAAAGTAAGTTGAGATATTTTTAATTAAACAATTATAATCCCTTATTTAGTTTGTTTCTGGTGTAAACGACGAATAGTAACCTAAAAAATGCCGAAAATTCATTAAAAAAACGCTGAGTTATACCTCTAGATCTATATTCTATTCTTATTTAATAGGCTAATTATAACTTTCCATTCCCTCAGGTGTGGTCTAAACAGCATAACAATACATGATCTTGTTGCTGTCATGGTACAAATAATTAAGATCTGTTTTGTGTAGTTTGTCACCACTAAGCTGCTGGTTATGTGTCTTAAGCGGGTGTTGTGTGTACTTAGATTTAGGCCTAGGCCTTTAAAGGACGCAAAGACTGGGTGGTAATTTGAGATGGATACACCAACATGGCATACCAAGAGTTGCTAGTGAGAATAGCACGATCTGTTGTGGAAATATCATGTCGTAAGTGAAGATAACTCTTGTTTGTTCGCAGTTCCCACCACACAGAGTGCGAAGTGTGGACTGCTGAAGCCCTGGATCACGGTCAAGGTTGGAAAAACAGCCGCATAAGTGCAGTTCTATTTTATCCCGTTTTGCTATCTTTACTCCTCTGAATTATACAACGATAATCCAGATAGCTGCAGGTACACTAGAGAGACTGTACTGTCAGTCTGGTACTGTTGTTTTAGCTTAGAGGCTTAGATATTGCAGCAAAATCAAAGTTAAAGAAATCTACCGTTGATGACAGTAACACGGCCACTTGCCTCCTTCGGCTACTGACGGCCACATCCACAAGCGGATAATTAGAGAACGACAACTAAACGCCATTGGCTGATATTTATAGTAACAGCCATCTTGTTTGACCTCGCAAGGGGGATGCCCGACTTTCCCTTACTTACTAGATCTAGATCTAGAATCTAGATCTAAGTTACTCCCTTCCCTCTCGCCAGTCTAGGCTACTCCCTTCCCTCTTTAAAGTAGTCTTTGAGTATAAGATCTAATCTAGATCTAGATCTAGATCTATATATGGAAGTGTCAATTGCCACCGAGTGACGCGGTGGCAATTGACAACTTTTTGTCACTTGCCACCGAGTAAATTGGAGCTCTTTTGCGTTGGTGGGTAGATCTAGATCTAGATCTAGATCTTGATCTAGCTTATTGTGCTCGAGAGATCGGTGTTGTGTGTTCACCTCTCTGTCCCTCTGTGTGTGTGTGTTTTCCTGAACCCCGTCCCCCGATTTATGTTCCCCGATATAACGTGAATTTCTGCTTGAAGAAAATAGATCTATTCCGAGTCGGCAGGCTTCCGGCTGCCGTCATGCGGTCCTGTTGCCACCATGAATTGAATGACAACAAAGTAAGAATCCCTCAATGACGTCAAACAAGATGGCTGTTATTATAAATATCGCCAATAGCCAATGGCGTTTAGTTGTCGTAATCTAATTATCCGCTTGTGCCAGTTCCTGGCCTGTAAGACTATTAGATCTAGTTAGGCCTTTCCTTTTACTCCTATTTGTTATGGTTAGCTTAAAGTTGAAGAGAGAGTGGGTTCGCCTGGAACAATAAAATTGCACTAGGATCAGATCGAGGGGGGGGGGGGGGTTCCGTAATGAGTAACCAGCCAGCCCTATGAAATAGAGTACAAAGGCGAGGGCTAGTTAGAGTTAAGATTAAGGCAGGCTAATAAGTGAGCTCTTCTGTCTTTATTGTGTTTGTTGGGGTGGTCGCTCATTACGGCAGTCCTTCCCAGAAATCTGTATCACAACTAGTGCCACCCTTTTGTCATAGTGGTAGCTAGTGTTATATATACAGGCCAGTAGTCAGTAGTGGATAGGATTATAACCGGTTTGGTCCCAGAGATAACCATGAACCATGGAGTGTGGGTTTTGGCTCCACTAACTAATACGTCTGATTCTAAACGATTACTTTTTTACGTGCATGCTGATATAATAATGTTTGAATTTGGAAGTGAGAGATATCTTAGCATCTGCATTTGTTGCCATTTTTTGGTCCAAAAGTTGCAACAAAAAATGGCAAAAGTTCCCAGTAATTTTCAAGCTTTCAACTCTCTATGATAACGTATATATAGCAGTATGTTGACAGAGGTAACTTACTCTAAAGCACCATAATTTCTCGTGTTCTGTTTTAAGCGTCCAGAATATCATTTGTTGCCACACAGGGTTGAAAAATGTGAAAAATAAAGGTTTCACAACAGAATGAAATAAAAATTAGAACAGCACATATATATAAACTCGCACAAAAAAGTCAAGGAACAAAAATTCAAAGAAAGATAACTGAAGAACAGTGTAACCAAATTTATTCATTTTTTTCCAAAAAGTTGCTTTCGACTCTTTAGATTAAGTGTGTACAGTTTCAGATTTCAACATACAGTGGAAACCTGATATAACAGGGATGGTGGGAGTATAGAAAATGTCCTGTTATATCCGATCCCTGTTAAATCAGAAATGCAAGGAAAGTAAGCATTTGTGGACTAATCTAGCTGTACTTTTTCATGGGTAGTTGCCCTTGCCACAAGTACCCACGAACAGGGGTTTTGGCACCAACTTTCTCCTTGCCTCATTAAACCACATCAGAAGAGCTTGGTCCACAGCATCCGCATCGGGCAGTCTCATTTTCTTTCGATCCAGAGCAAACTTTCCATTGGAGTGTGCTGCCACTATCTTCTCTCTATTCTTGATAATGGTGTGAATCGACTCTTGTGGAATGTCAAAATGACGACAAATCTCTGCCAGTGGAGCTTGCTTTTTTGTTAACAGCCTGGATTATTTCGTATTTTTTGTCAATTGAAAGGCATTTTCCCTTCCGTTTGACATCGTTGGTGACACATTACGTGTGCGTGTTGCTAGGTTTCAAGCTAGATAAAGGTCTGCAGCACACCGCATCCCTCTCTCGCTTCACCCGCTGCGTGTGCTTGCAATGGCGTGGCTTGCATGGGCTTGCTCCATCACTGCGTTACTCTCTCTCTCTCTCTCTCTCTCTCTCTCTCTCTCTCTCTCTCTCTCTCTCTCTCTCTCTCTCTCTCTTTCTCTGACTTTTTACACATTGTTAACGAGCCTTTGTCCCTGCTATAACCGGTTGGGCTCCGATGAGTCCCTGTTACTGCCGATAACTTTTAATAGAGACAGAGAGTAGGAAAAAACGGGGATTTTAAAAATCCCTGTTATTACCGGGCCTGTTATATATGGTTTCCACTGTAAACGAGAAGTTGTAAAATGAGTTTACGTCACACTGGTCGGATTTCAAAAGTCTGAACAGCCATAGTTCTTCATGAACATGGTCAATAGTGGGTGTAGCCACCCCGTTTGATCAAACACTCGGCACAGCGTCGACGTATGGACAGGACATGCCTTCGGGGGACTTGTTGCAGTAGGTTCTGCCCCTCCTGGACGAGGTAGCCAAGAGTTGCTTAAGGTTTTGTGCAGGAGGGTGGTTGTCTCTTATCCACCGGTCAATGGGATCCCAAATGTTCTCTATTGGGTTCAAATCCGGACTACAAGCTGGTCAGTGCATGCGGGTGACAGCTCGCTGCTGCAGGAAGTCCCCAACGATGCGTGCGCGATGTGGTGTGGCGTTGTCATCCTGCAGTACAGCCTGGGGTCCAATCTGTTGCAGGAGAGAAACAGCAAGGGAGACGCAGGATTTCTTTCCTGTACCTTGCTGCGGTCAAATTGCCCTGTATATGGTACAGGGGGTCTTGTGGTGAGCTGAGAAGCCTCCCCACACCAGAACAGGCCCTCCACCGTAGAGCGCCACCTGCTGGATGCACTCAGGGTGGAACAGCTGTCCTCGACGCCTCCAGACGTGGGCTCGCCTGTCTGGGTGCAGCAGGTTGAATCAGGATTCGTCCTAGAAGACTACCTGGTCCCACTGACATTGTGTCCACTGTGAATGGCGAGCAGACCACGCCCGACCAGGTGCTGTGTGGTGCAGCGTGTGCCTTGGGCGCCTGGCAGGGACACGAGAAGCGAACTTGGCTCTACGGAAACAGTTCCTGACCGTCTCCTCACTCTCGTGGGCCTTGGCACTCACCCGTAGTTGGTCCCTGGTGCTGTTTGCAGTAGTGGTTCGTGACGTCACGGCCTGTCTGACGATGAACTGGTCGATGCTGTCGTTGGTCAAACATGGCACCCTGGTTGAGGCCTGTCCTGGACCCTTCCGGTCGCTCGTCATCATTCTTTCAGCCTCCTCATGACTGATGGGGACACCCCAAGTCGATGTGCAACAATTGGGAACCAGCTGAGAGGTGTGAAGTTTTGACCACTGCTTGCCGATCGGACAAGCGATCCTTGATCCCACCGGCTGGGCCTTTTGAACCTCCACCTCCCCCCTAAATTGCCCTGTCTAAAACGGAAAATGTCTCAGAATTTTTTTCCCGCTCCCTTGCAATTCAGTCTTACACAGGTTCGACTGTATATAATATATATATAATTTTTTTTTTTTAATGCAAAAATCGCTGCCGTGACAAACGCAGATGCTAGGATATCAAACCTAATTGCGAAAATGAATGCTTTTGTAGTCATTAAGTTAACTCTTTATCTCCAAAGGGGATAAACCCACTATGCTGGGACCCTTTTTTGGTGCTGAATTAAATGGGTCATCAAATTGAAATTAGCAACCTATTTTGATAGTACTCCATCTCATGAATGAAGTTCTGGTAAAAGAGACCTGTTTTCGGCAATTGCCAAAAAGTGATTTGATGTCGAAGTTGTGGCAAAAGAATGTGCCAGAGCTGGCTCACCGGCACAGCGGTTCTGACCCCGAGCCGCTGGGAGCGGCTTGCCGGACATAAAAAGTTAAAGGAGTTTCAGGGGGTGTCCCCCTGACGAACGATTACGCAATAGCCCTCCCCCCCCCCCTGAAATGATGTGCCAAAACATCTAAACTAACCATTTGCGACTTTTTAAATGCCAAAATCATGTTCAGAACCCTAAAGATCCCCCTAAAAGCTACTAAATAACACCTTTTATGATACTGAGACGGGAGTGATTCTATAAAATAACTTATTTTTATTAGGTCAAGGGAGCAAGTCACAGTGAAACCTCCCCTTGTTTAAAACGAGTTAAATATTACTGCTCATTTTTTTGCTATTAAAGATGGCAGCGCATCTTTCACTCTCTTTCAGATAAAACATTGATACCGAGTGTATTTAAGTCAGTATCGATATCCAGACTCTTGGGACCAAAACCGGAGAATGCCTTGATCATACCATATTCACATGTTGTATGATATTTTGATTTTATTGCTCTTCACTAACTCACTAGCACTAGCCTACTTGAACTGAACATTAATAGTACTAATAATTGTACTCCCTGTCAACTGTCAGTATCATTCATGACTCTATGGTAAATTTTCATGTTCCCTTGTCTTCAAATTCAGTGTTAAGTGTTAACATATGTGTGAGGCAGCGTGGTGGAATCAGGCTCTCGTCAAAATAATCAAAGTGAAGAAACTTGCATTTTTCTGCAGGTTTGTGAATTTTATCCAATTTTTTTTTTTTTTTGGGCTCAACACCTTTCATGCCCATTAAAGAACTCATTTTTGTGTGGATTTTTCTGAAAAACGTTGATAAATGGTACAAATAATGTAAATTTTCATTTACCACGGACTCTTAAGCTAAGGAAATAACTAATCTTTGACGGCCATATTTCCTCACTAATTTTACCTCTGAAAACAGGTGACCCCCAACTCTTTCTTTCGCAAATATCTCGACTTGTATTCAAGGACATGGATTTTTTTTTCATCCAAATAAAGACAAGTGAACAAGCTTTAAGACGATACTAATAACTCAACATGCACTAAAATTGACGAGAGCCTGATTCCACCACGCTGCCTCCCATATTTTGCCTCACAGACAGTGTATCAGTTTTACTGGGTACCTAAAATAGTGAAGACATTAGAGAGAAACTTACGGTGTTCGCCTCTAATTCAATAGGTACCGGGTTTGAAACCTGGCAACAACTGGAAATTTTCTTCTTAAAAATGTTCTCCTTTCACCTCCTTTCCTGCTCTCTTACCATGTTCTGTCGTCTGCTTTCGTCTCCACTTTCTCCCCCTCCCCAACCCCCCCCGTCCACTCCTCTGGGCTTCTGACTCTTTCTGTACAGCCTTTCTCCTCCTACTCCTTGGCTCCTTACTGCAGTCTTTCAGCCACATCCCTGATCTTGGGGTAGGTAAGATTGAACTCCTAGACTTCTCAGATGAGGGCAACAAATCTCAGAGGTCCCGTGTGCAAGTTGTGCGCGTTAAAGATGTCTTGGTGGTCCAAAATCGATAAGAGTAGGCTATGGCCGCCACCCTTGCCAAAATCAAAATTAATTCCTAGTAAGCTATAAATTTTTAAAAAGAGCGGGGGGAGTTTAATGTGTCCCGTTTGCTCATATAACCGTTATATAATGCAGTTGGGAGCACTGTAGAACACTTTCGAAAACAACTAGTTACTAAAGTTGAAATCTCATTGCCAGGGATCAATGTAAGTTACATGATCAACTTTGAAAATAAATCTTCAGTGCAAAACTATATTATAAAAGGTCCCTTGATGTCTTTATTCAAATAGCATTTTTTAAACCGTAATAGCCCGTTGTACATTTCTCTCATGAGTTCTCCTTCCCTCCAGCCTCTAGACCCTGTTGCGTATAATTTTCCTCATGGAGCACCGGCCACCTCAAACCCAGTTGGGTATATTACCGCAGTCTATGCAATTGCCTCTGAAAAATGTTCTCTGTTTTCTTCTAAAACGTCAACTGAAGACAATATTTTTTAATGTTTGCAAAAAATTACAGACCCAGTCGGTATGTTGCTGAGCCTTAGGAGTCAAGTACTCGAGTATTACCTGGGCCAGAGAGTAGTGGGAGCTAACAATAGCTTATTACTATAGGGGTTAATCTTTTCTGGAAAGGGGCAAAGATCCGAGTTTTTGTGTCTTTACAAACTTGTCCAAACAGAGTAATATTTTATGAATTATTTGTTGACATATTGCTGAAGATCATGATACAGACTACAGCGGTTCAGTATAAGTCACGTCAACAGAAAAATGTAAGAAAAGGAAAGAGATGAGTAGAGTCTACATAATGGGTGGAGCACTGAGTAAGAACAATGGAGGCTTGCAGAATGTTATGTTTGTGAGGGTGGACCAAGGCTTTTATTTTACTCTCTTTCAGTGATTGGTACCATGAGTTTTCAGTATGACTGTTTCTCTCTTTTTGATGGCATATGCATCATTGATAGTGAATTCATTAATTCATTCTGTGGTCCCAGTAAGGTGATGCTCTCAGCTGAAGATCCTACTCCTATCCTTTTGTTTAACTTTACTCCATTAAAGATGTAGTTTCTGTGTAGTAGAATTGTTTTGGTAAAGATGGGAGTTGAAGGAACTTCACTGTCTTCCATCATGTGTCTATTTAAGGCCTTTTTTTTTTCCTGAAGAAACTTGGCATCATGGCAGACCGTGGCCATGGCAACAAGAATCAGATGCTGTTTCTTGGAGGCACATCCCATCCTGAACTGGCACAGTTGGTGGCGAGGTGAGATTGAAGTACACACACGGTCAAACCTGCTCAAAGGACCACCTGTACGAGACAATCATCAAAACAAAGGGCCCCTTCCCACTATCTCCTTGTGTTTTTCTACATTATAATGATTCTGTCTAAGACGCCCATTTTTCTCCTGGACAGTCTTTGACATTTTTGGCTGTATGTGGCCAATCATATTGTCCATCTAGCTTACTGGGCTAATCTTGAATTGACTCAGTTTGACTTATAAATTGCTTTTAGGACATTGTGTAACATGATGGAAAAGAAATAATTATTGAAGAAGCAGAATTTTAATTTACGTTTATGTTTTGACATAACTTGCCTGTTTTGCAAAATGATAGTGGGGGCTTTTGAATTTTTTTCTGAACTATGTCTGTTATTTTTGTTCAAAACGGGTGTTTTTACTACTATTCTGCTTAATTTGTACTTATTTTTTGGACAATGTCTATCCTATCTGTATGCAGATATTCCCTGCTTATAATTCTTTCAATGATGTGGAATAAGAATAAGACGATAAAAAGTTTGAGAAATATTGACATGTAAGGAGAAGAAGTTGCGTTGTTGAATATTTCAAGTAACATATTATTTAGTTATGTTTCCAAAGACACTTTAATGACTTTGTGAAAATTCTGATAAGCAGATGAGTAATGAGAGGATTTTATATATTAAAAATACAGATAATTGCTTACCTTGTTACCACTTGTCTGTCTCCTCCTCAAAGTAATGAATAAAAAGTACTTGTCGAATAATATAATAATTCACTGGGGAGTTGCAAGTTTTTCATCATTGGTGTTCGGTCAGACTGGTAGTTTCTGTGTTGTGACAGTTAAAGGGATAAACTTGAAGATGTCCTGATATGTGTTGAAATAATGATTATTGTATTCATCAGAGTCATTAGATTGAACTATAAAGTAGTTTATATCGTGGAAGAATAAAATAGTGTTGGTAAATGTTCTTTGTAAATCTATTCAAAATATGGGCAGTAAGATATTTGAAGGAAGAATCACACGAGGTGGTCGCCAATGAAGAAAGTTGCTTATTTGAAAAGTTTTTTATTGAAAGTTATTGTGGTTTAATCAGTCATTCTCGGGACTGATCGAATTCTGTGCTTTGGCATGTGCTACTGAGAAATTCTGAAAAGATCGGGTCCCAGAGTTAAAGGTCAAATCTCAAAACTCATTTGTGTTTTGTTTGTCTTAATTTTTTTTCAGCAAACTTGGGGTTCGTCTCTGTGAAATTACCACTTTCCATAAGCTCAACAGAGGTGAGTCCAGCCGTAAGGAGAGCTTTTTAAAAAATATTCCACTTGTGTCCTTTGAATGTTAAATATGTGGTGGGATTTAGAGGATGAGTTGCAGATCGAATTATCAAATATGACATCGCTTGAAGTATGGATGGAACTTGTAGGAGACTCAGCTGACACAGCCGATGTGTTCTGTGGACATTTCCTAGTAAAGCATTGCTGTGGAAGCACTGACAGTAGTCGCTTTGGCTGTGATATTAAGACTTTTCTTCTACATGTGACTTAAGAGATCCAGGTGCATTCATGTTGCTGTTGATGCTTATTATGCCCTGCTAGAATGTTCAGTGGTTATGATAATAATATGCAAGTGATAGCTAAGACAAAAATTTATGTTGTATTGTTCAGGACATTATACTGGTATTACTGTCCTTTACTTGTGGGATTGGATGTGTGTATGTATACCTACATATGATACTCTGTTGCATTCTTCCTTTTACTGTTAATTGTGTTCTTATCCATCGTTCCTTGCGAGATGTTGCTTGTGGCTGCTGTTATACTATACGGACTTGCTGTAAACTTCTACTCAGCCTCGCTAGAATATATCTTAATCTTATTAAATCTCTACTAAAGTATACTTTGTGAGTGTTGATGTCTTTAAATCTGGTTGGCTTTTTTTTATCTGTTCTCATTTAATGTACCGTAGTTCTTTTCTAATAGGTGGTTGTTTGTTCAAATTCAGTTTGCACGTTATATGACAGACTCTATAATGAATGATGTGGAACTGAGGTTTGAATATTTGAGATAGCTCATTTTGGTCTGGACCTTTTATGATTTATGTTGTGCAGAGACGACTGTTGAGATCAAGGAGTCGGTGCGAGGAAAAGATGTCTACATCCTGCAGACTGGCACCAAGTAAGGTCCTTCAAACAGCTTATGCTGTTATTGTTTCTTTTCATTAGTACAGCCTTTTCTTTTTCTTACAAGGTTGGCGGGTGCTCTGGTGTGGTTTGCTTCTTCTTTCCTATGAAACATCTATCATCCTTATATCTCCCCATCTTCTTTTTTATATTTGTTACTCTCTTGTAACACCTCTAATCTTCTGGCGTTCATATGACTTTATGCAGTTGTGGGCGCCATAAAACCTCTACTAAAACAAACAAACAATAACAAGAGTCAGTGGGGTAATGCTTGAAATAGCTAACTAGCACTGAAAAGGTGTGAGTTTGATTCTCAGCTAGGGAAAATAGAACTTTCATCTTTCTGCTGGAATGTATTCCAAGCAGCCCTGGCTGGCATTTACAAGCATGGTCAAAGCATGCCTGTCTTGAGAATGATTTAAATTAGGATGATGAAGGTGTAAAATTCAGTCATTTCACTTGTTTACTGTCATTGAAAGGTTAACACTGGAAAGCCATTGCCTGTCTGAATGTTTGATTCATTGTCAAGATTTGGTTTTTGAATGGGATTGGCAAATTTGTCAATCTGTTAGTGAAGGTAGTGTTGTCAGTGTATGTTGCGACATGTTTGTTTTGTCAATATTTGTGAGTTTTCGTATGTGTTGATATGGACATGCTTGTTTGTTGTTCAATTTTAAATGTGTTTTTAAATATCAATGACGGTGCTAGAAAAATGAGTAGCGCTGTGTTACCATGTTCTTTTGGGTGTATAAAAATAAGGGTAAAGTTTTTCATTTTATTCAAGAGAGCAACAGTATGCTTGTAAGTTTGAGCCTGTGTTATATTATTCTTATAAAGACCTCATAGGTAGTCAGGTGTAATCAATGAATGACATAAGTTTTATTTTACCTGGTTCTTCTCACCTAAGACCCAAGTATTGTTAGGGTTTAGCATTCGGTCTTCTAGGGTTCGGATGGGAAATTTATAAGGTATATGTATACGTTGCAAAAAATGATTTGTGGTTGTTGAATAAAGAATAAAGAAAAGACATGTCCAGCCCAGCTATAAAGGTCAATTATGAAATCAACCGGGAGGGACCCCATTCTAAAGGCAAAATGGAGATCTAGGTAAAAATCAGTGCCTATGTGGAGTGGGGAAGAAAAAAAAGGTTTTCACACATATTTTACTTTTTTATATATATATATATATATATATATATATATGTATATATATATATATATATGGTACTTGTAGTTAAAATTCACACTTGTTTTGTGTCTGTTAAACCTCTCAACACTATATGAATTTCCTTTTGACAATTGTCATCCTTATAACATGGCCAGTATCATAATATGCTTAGATGCATTTCTTCACTCCCTGTTGGAGCTTTACTGTAGTTCAGGTCTTCATTATTGTTCATTACCGGTTTCTGCTGGGAACTCAGGTTAGCTTAGGAAGAAGGGGAGTCATTAGCTCAGTTGGTGTTGTGCTGGACTATAGTGTAGGTAGCTCAGGTTCGATCGCCAAATAAGACATCTTAACTTGGGTTGTTTGTGAAGTCTTCAAGTCTCTCCACTCACCTGGCTTGGTCTTGTCCGAGATGGATATTGCATTCTGAGGCCCTGCGTCTTTAATAATCTTTTGGTGTCAAAAAGCGGTGTTCAATTCATACTTTCAATGATGAGGTTTGACCAGTTTGAGAAAAGTTGGTCTTAATTAAGAAAGCATTTCTCCTCAGTGACTGACCTTTCCTGCTTCATATGTTTTTAAAAATTTTCCTAGGGATGTGAACAATGACATCATGGAGCTGATGATCATCGCCTATGCTTGTCGCACCAGCTCAGCCAGCAACATTGTTGGCGTCATCCCCTACCTGCCCTATTCCAAACAGAGTAAAATGAGAAAGAGGGGCTGCATTGTGGGCAAACTGCTAGCTACCATGCTGGGCAAGGCAGGTGAGGATGAGAAAGATGAGGTGAAGTTTAGTGTTTGAGCAAAGTGAAGAGTCTTGACTTGGTAACAGTATGTTAATGTTGGGAAATAACAGAGAGAAGAGAGAGAGAGAAAAGAAGGAGGACCTACCACTGAACTTACGAATGTTTTTGTGTGCTATAAACTTATGTGTGTGAAGCTAATTCATGAAATTGAGCCAACCAATTATTTGAAAAAGTGATATTTCGACTGAAATAGCACTTCCGCTGGGTAGAGGAGTGTTTAAAAGCTTGTCAAAATAATTGACTGAATACCACACCACGTCCACTCTAGAAGGAATGTAGTTTTGTAAATCCCAGGACATTGAACTGCCCTCCCAAATTCTTTACATTAAACTTACACAATCAACTCTATGACAGTTCACATTAGGGGCAATGGTAACTTCCAGAGATTCTATTCTGCAAATACTTACAAAACACAGAGGGTCACATTCTTAAGAATAAATACTAAAACACAATAAATAACACAAGTGATTCAATACTACTTGAGAGGATCAAAGTTCAAGGCTGGAAACCTTTCTTTAATGCTTGCGATGCCACACTTTCGTGTGCCTATTTTGCTGTTATGTTGCTTTTTCTATTTCTAAAATGATTCTTTAATCTAAATTCTTTTTTGACATGCCTGGTACTTTGGTTCCCGCAATGCAGGTTGTTGGAGAGTTTTACTGGCTAAGCACCACATGACCTGTCTTTTGGTTAATCTGACTCATTTAGCTCACCTCTAACGGTGATATTTTCAAGGAAATTCGTGGATTCTGAACATATATGGAAAGTCTTAGGTATTTGATAAATTATCCATCATAAATGACCCAGTAATCCAATTATACAAAACCCTTCCCAATGAGCAATAATTTTACAGAATACAAATAATGTATTGAAGTTCTGATATTTGTGTGCATAATGTTGTGTTCACAACCCATTGCGAAACGGTCAGTTTAAAGTTAATCTTTTGTTTTTGAAAAACAAATCTGCCTATTGAAAACACTTGTCTTTGGGTTAAGTTACGGCTTTCAATTTCTTAAAATCTTTCCATTTTTATTAAAGGAGACCCATCTTTAACCAATTTCTGAACATAACATAGAAAGAAGGTGTTGCCGTCTTGACTGATCTGGTACATTGTTGGTGATAAGCCAATTACATAAGAATTTTTAAAGCGATGCCTATTTTTTAATCATAATTTTCATAAATCTTTCTACATGTAGATAACGTACACCTTTGTGTAACTCTCAGGTTTCACCCATGTAATCACCATGGATCTGCACCAGAAGGAAATCCAGGGCTTCTTCAACATTCCTGTGGACAACCTCAGGGCCTCTGCTTTCCTCATTGATTACATTCAGACCTCAGTGAGTGCTGTAGACATATTGTATAATCATGTACACACACACACCCACACATAGATTCTCAAATACACCATGATCATGTATTCGTTCATAGACACTAGACACACCCCAAGTGTAAACCTTTTCGTCTCCTATGCAGACAGTCAATTTAGCTTAAGATGTTCTCAAGGTTGTCTTCATGCAGCTTCTTTCATGGCTAATTCTTCCTACGTTTGAAGCGCAGATTCTGTCGAAGTGCTTGCATGTCAGTGATGTGGATCGAAGCTCTGTCAAACGAAGTACAGTGTCATTGAAAACCTAAGTGCTTTTCCATACCTCTGCATACATTTCATACACTCCTGTTTGTGAGTTGACAAACTCGCACACTTGTACTCGAATCCCTTTTATTAATATCTCACAGCTTGAAACATGTCTTGGGGGGCATGGCAAATCTTTACTTATGACTTTAAAAAGTGTCAATGTTTGCTTTTGTCTGCCAGTATCATGACAATTGTACATACAAGACTTTCAGTTGAGGGTGGGTTTTTTTCATCATTCGTTTTTCATTCAGTGGAATGGAAAATCTGCAGCTAGTACAAAAACAATGATTTTATTGTCCATTTCAGCTGCCAGACTACAGGAACGCTGTGATAGTTGCTCGAAACCCAAACTCAGTAAAGCGTGCAACATCATATGCAGAGAGATTACGCCTTGGCATCGCTGTTGTGCATGGGGATGAGCGATTGACCGAATCGGACGAGGATGATGGGAGGACGTCGCCACCGCCTCTGCCGGATCTGCAGTCTCGCAGCAAGGCTAACAATGCTTTTGGCTTGGAACTTTTGCCAAGTAAGTTGAATTATCAGCAAAACAATGGAAAAAATATTTTTACATCATTTGTTAATCTGCAAAATCAAAATATCCAATGATTGTAATATTGTTTATTGATAGCTTATGCCCTCATCTGTGTATTGAGGATCAATGTTTCTTTCTTTAAGTTTAAATCCGTTAATGTCTTTCATTTCCCTTCGTACTGAGGTTGGAAGTGACTTTTAAATTAAAACTAGCTGGCTCCACTGCTCACTTCTCACTCTAGAAATGTTGTGAGAGGATAATTATTCTTTGCACTGTTTGGTGTGGAAAGACCAAAATTACAAATATGTGGAGAAAAGTATAGCTGTCATGCAGAATTTGTACTGCTTTGAATGCACACTGACTACAAACTGTTCCCAATTTTTTCGATGTTCACAGAGCCAAATGTGACTCTTCTTTGAATGGTAAGGCCTTTAGCTGACAGGACTTTGCTGATAATGTGATCTATGTTTTAATGAACTTGCCTACATCAATGCCAAACCTGTTTTCCTCTTTGACCAAGCATATATACATTAGGGATGCATTTGTGTTTGTGGGAGATCTAATCCTCCCCACTGCTTATAAAACGATCTTGTGATTTGAGCTTCACAGCTTTTGTAGAGAGCCATGTGTGCATGGGTCATGAATGAATGTAGCCGCTTGTAAAATTTCAGCAATACTTTGGTATTAATACCTAAGCAGAGTGACGGGTCAATTGTGCTTGTGTTGTTGATCTCACCCTCATTTTTATTGAATTCATGTAATCATTATAATATATGTTTTAGGAAACTATGTTCTTTGGTCTGATCTTTGCTTTTCTTTTTTCTTTTTTTTTTCTTTTTTCTTTTTTCTTGTCTGCGTAGGAGTGGCTGCTAAGGAGAAACCTCCATTCAACGTAGTAGGAGATGTGGGAGGTCGCATTGCCATCATTGTGGTAAGTGGACTAACTACTGTAGCAGTGACGGTGGGAAAGAAACAGTACTTACTCAGACACAGAGCGATTGTCACCTTTCCAATTTGGGTTTGTTATCGACGTGACAAGCTGCTCATCTGTGTGATTTTGGCTCACTAATGCTGCCAGGGTCAGACCACATTAACTCACTGAGCACCACACCCCGATTTGCCTCCAAGCTGCAGAGGACCCCCAATTTCCCCCACTTTTTGAAAATTCATAAAAAATTGAAATGAAATGCTATTTCTTGGAAATTTTCTGTGCTATTTAATAAGATATGGTTTCAACAGACACAATAAACACACTGTGTGAAGAATGAACGACAAAAAAATGATGGGACAGAAAGTTGGGACAAATTTGCCCCAGAAAAAAAATTTTGAAAAAAAAAAAGTGATGTGACAAAGCAGAAATCTAATAAACTTACTTACACAAAATGGTAGTGACAGTGTGTGTTTGTGTGTAGGAGAATGAAGCATGAGTGTGTACTGTGAAGTAGCAAAAAAAAGTAGGTTATAATTAATTTTGAAAAAGGGAGAAAAAAAAATCTAGATGTAGATCTTCCAGGGTGACAGGCTGAGATGTGTTTTCATTGTCAGTGTTGCTAGTGCTAGGACTAGATCTAGATTTGTCTATAGATGTCCCAGGTCTTGGTAGGCACTACATTATTTATCTTCTCCACTTTGAGGGCTGATTTTAATTAAAGTTTAGTACTGGGGCTAGATCTAGATCTATCATCATTTCCAGCCGGACCAGGCTGCGTACTCGCTGACGAGTCAGATTCACAATCGAGAGACGATGTTGGTCTAGATCTAGCTAGTGTCATTTTCTCAGTCATCTCCATCGCTGCTAGGCGAATTTGCATTTTGATTTATGAAGTTTTCTATCTGATACTTCACTATCACTTAAATCTTTACCCAAATTATTGAGAGTTTCAATAAACTTCGACACAACTCGCCGTGCCGTGCTTCGCGTACGAGAAACAACGTTGGACAAATAACTTGTTTATTCGCACTAAAAGTGGTGAATATACACAAACCACAAAGAACTAGCTTGTCGATATCTTGTTTAAACCACTGGGGCTATTTGCAAGCATTTTTAAACTGCTGGGTTTACTTTATAGTCAATTATAGTTGAACCCGCGTACGCTGTGGTTTGCGGTCCCTGGCGCGAATTTCACCGAACTGCGTATGCTGCGGGAGCGGTGCTCAGTGAGTTCAGTTGACCCTCCACAGCTCGCAAGGAGACAGCGGTGGCGGGGAATGGACCACAGCGGATCGTGCCTTGACCACATGTAAAATGGAAGTTGGTCTCTTTTCAGTGCGTTGCCCCACTTTAGTGAGAGACAGAACTTGTAACTCTGGAATCTCAATGCCAGATGTACCGGACTGCTGGTAGACCACAGACCTGGGTGGGAATAAAAGCCACAGGCTCCACAGCAAATGTGGGTTTGTTTCTCTCCCCCCCCCCAATGGACACCATTTGACTGGAAAACATAAATCTACATTTTTCTTAACCCCATCAGGCATTCCTAACAATTTTGTTCTTTGTGGGTGGTTGTTCTGATTAATGAATCTGACATTATGCAATTTCAAGTTTGCTTGTTTATACTGCAAGCCCCTCAACATGTACTGAAAACTTTGCTACGTGGGTGGTTGGCAGGTGCTTTGATTAGGCAGCGTAAACACGGCCTCGCTGCACTCGCGGCCTTCCGAGCACGTGGTGTTGGTGAAATCGGGGTAATTCAGATGGCTCTTCTATTATCTATTTGTGGTGGCCGAAATTTGCTATTCAAAAGGCTTTTTAATGACTGCATCGATCGACATGCGGTTTTCACCAAAAGATTTCTTTAAATATTCTCCAGATCATGTCGCCCTTCGTTTTTTCAGTTTTGAGACAGTTTTGCTGCAAAAAGCTAAATTTCTTTATTTCGCCGATCGCTTTTGTAGGCGACGCTTCTGTCTCTGTAATTTTAGAAAACCCGCCAGGTTTGTTTATTTTCGAGTCGTACTTCCGTTCGATACTCTCGCGCATTGTCGCGCAATGCTGAGCACTATTTTAAGTGTGCGACCCGCATAGATCTAGCCTAATGTTTTCTTTTTTTACTTTGGGCTAAATTCGACTGTGATCCTTTTGTTTGATGCCCATCATCGCTTTTTCTGGACTCCTTTGTCAAATTCTTTTTCTTGCTACTCATTCGCTATAAAACACCAAATGCTGAACACCTTGTAAAAGTTCAGCTTTTCCTCGTTACAATGGTGGAAGTTGTTTATATGTCCGATTATTAGGAGTTGGAGAATCGCCGTGGAAAGCGATGCCCCTCGCAGTTGGAATGTGTGGTCAGCCGGTTAAAAAATTGACACGCGTGCATTAGTGGAAGGATTGATGGTTAAATACTGTCTTTTCATTGGCTTGGCAGAGAACTGTAAAGCTTTGAAAGGGCTTTCACGTAGTATGTTTTTGGCATTTGGCGTTTAAATAGAAAGCCTTTAAAAATACAGTCAAAGTTTTCAAACATCATTTTTTACACGAAATGTGTAAAATACCGGCCCAAAAAGGGTACCAATGTAAAGATTAGTTCATTTTCTATTAGAATGAAGTAATCAGCTTGGAATTATTTTGCATCAATCCTTCTGCAAAACTCAGAAAGCATGTGACCCCCCCCCTCCCCCCTCGCGGGGAGCACTTGGTACACTACAGTATAGAGCCGATCCCTGGCCATGGGGGCTGGTGCGGCGCCGGCTTGGTCAGCGCTCTGTGTTTTTGTCAAAATTATGACAGATCATCGTGTTTGAGCCGATAAAATACTGGTTTGTATTTATCTCACAGTCTTGAAAAAAAAATTCGCCTTCTTATCTATGTTATAGTGATTGTACTCTGTTAATGTGGAGGTGTTTGGTGCACTTGGTAACTCTTTTATTATCTATCAAACATGGGGTTGCAGCCTGTTAACGACTTAAGCAAATTTGATCACACTTAAAACAGCTACCATTTTCTTAAAAATTTACTGAGAGGTTAAGCAATGGTATCAAAATTCTCAGGAGATATAGGCCTTTCATATGGAACAGATAAATGTGACCTATAGCTACTTTGAAAATTTAGTTTCTGGTAACTTCTCTGATGTGGTTTGCTCATACTTTCCTATCAAACATTTATCATCCTCATCTCTCCATCTTTTTTGTGTTTGTTACTCTCTTGTAACAGCTCTAATCTGCAGCAATTATAATATATGACCTAATTGTGGAGTAAATGGGATGAAACTTACTTTTTAAAAACAGCCTTGCTAGATTTGATAGGTCTACAGAATGATCGGTGAGTGAACAACTGGTGCAAAGTTTTTTAATTGGGCCCACAGGATGACATGATTGATGACGTGGATGCATTTGTCAAAGTGGCAGACATCCTGAAGGAGCGTGGAGCCTACAAGGTGCTTGTTGTAGCTACACATGGTGTTCTCTCCTCCGATGCTCCGCGGCTCATAGAAGACTCAAGCATTGATGAGGTATGTCATCTGAAGAATAAATGGGGGGGGGGGGATTCTTTCTCTGCTTTTCCTGCCTTCCAGTATTGATTTACGAGGCTTGGGCTTTATAACTTAGTACAGCAAAATCTGTCCAAGAGCGAATTACGAAGGACCCAAGAAAAAATAATAATTATGTCTCGGACAGGGGAATTTAGCTGGGGAGGGGGGGTCCAGAGGGCCAGTCCATTATGCAATGGGATCAAGTACAGTGGTGTCCTCTTATAGCTTGTTCACTTTCGTCTGACAGCGGTTAAAGCACGATGAAATGAAATCGCTCTGTTCAATATTCTCAGATCTTTACTAAAACTTGGATGACCAAAAGAATATAAAAGCCTGTTCATAAAGGTCACTGCAAACTTATGTTCCGACACATTTTCTTTGATGTAAGCCTAAAGCGGATTTTAAAAAATAACAGGGAATTTACAGCATGCACCAAAAACATTCAAAAGTTGACATATTTTCCTCAACACGACACTTTAACTCACTCGCTGCTGGCACTTTAGCTCAGACCAAGCCGGTGCCTGCCAGTTGTTTTTTTTTACCTTTTTCTAAATCCAGTTACTCTGGATCTATTTATGTTAGATTTATGAAAATTGGCCAGTTTCAGTAGATGTTGAGCTTTACAGAACAGAAATAATTTTGACTCTATATGTTATTTGGTTCATGTTTCATAGCTTTTGAATAAACAACAAATTTGGGGGACGAAAACTGTTTTTTTGGCCAAACTAGTCAGTACAATATTTTTGCTGTTTTTGTGAAAGTGTTGCTGTTTCTGTCCTAATATACACACAAAAATATATGCGTACCAAAAGTTTTTTTACCTGATCATGAAGGAATAATGGTAGAAATCTGAAATTTGGGGTGAAAGCCAACAATCATCTTCCTAGAATGCATGTCAATTTTGGGGAGTTTCCGATTTCTGGTTTTATCACCAGCGCTCTGTAAGTGAATGGGAGAATCTTGTTCTCCAGTTTCAGCATAAAAATTAGGAAAATTGAGCACAGGGCAGTAATGAAGTTTTTGTTCTTGCAAGGCAAGCAACAACAGGATATTTTTACGAAGATGCATGCCGCGTATGAAACTGATTGCCCACCCCATGCTGTGATGAAGTTTTGGTGTAAAAAATTCAAATGCGGATTCGTGGACATTGAAGATGGCCACTGTGATGGTCGCCCAGTGACACCAACAATAGAAGAGAATGTGTTGAAAATCAAGAAACATGTGTTGTCTGATAGACGGGTGACAGTCGAACTTTTGAGCAAAGAAACTAGGCTTAGCATTGGATCATTTGAACGAATCTTTAATGAATGTTTGAATATGACCAAGGTTTCTGCGAGATGGGTCCCACGTTTGTTGACTCCTCCTCAAAAAGTGCAATGTGTTGATTATTGTTAAGAATTGCTTGGTCTGTATGAAAAGGATGAAACTAAATTTTTTGAAAGACTTGTAACCATGGATGAGACATTAGTCCACCACTACAATCCTGAGTCAAAATCTGCATCAACACAGTGGAAATCACCCTCGTCTCCAACACCAAAGAAGACAAAGGTGCGGCCATCAAGAGAAAAAGTGATGCTATCAGTTTTTTGGAACCAAGAAGGAGTGATTATGACAGACTATTTTGAAAATGGATATACACCGAAGACCATTATTCTAACCAGCTAAGTAAATTACGAGAGGCTATAAAAGAAAAGCGAAAAGGAAAGATCCGAATAGGTATTTTGCTGCTTCACAACAACTCCCAAGCACACACTTCAACTTCAAGAAAAGCTGCAGAAATTGCGCAAGAAAATGGCTATGAAATTTTGCCACCTCCATCCTATTCTCCAGATTTAGTCCGGTCTGACTTTTTTAAATTCCCCAAACTAAAAAAGGGATTTAAAAGGAAGGCATTTTGAAAGTGATGATGAGGTCAAAGAAGCGGTAGAGGGCTGGTTTCCTGACAAAGAGAGAGGCCTCTGTTTTCAAGGTCTTACACCGAGGGCAAAAATGTGTAACTGTGGGAGGCGACTACATAGAGAAAGACTAAGCTTAGTACCAAATTTCAGCTTTCTACCTTTATTCCTTCGTGGTCAGGTAAAAAAAACTTTTGGTATGCCCCTCATAACAAAAAATAAGAAAAGTAGATTGATAAGTTTATGATATCTTAGGCTACCCTATTTCAAGTGTCACCGCTTGAATCATTTGTCTCTAGTACTAGTAGATACTAGATCAAGTAGCCTACTAGTATTAGTACCTGCCTACTGCTGTCGACATGTGATCTTCCTCTTTGTCTTTCTCTCATCTCAAACTACCATCACTACCATTATTTTGCACTTCATCATCTGAATCTTAATTCGTTGAATCATATAATATGGATTCATAATCTCTAAAATTACGAGCCATTTTCAATTCATATAAGCATGAGCATCACATTAGCGTTTGGTCGACTTCGGACTTCGGCCGCCCCTGATGTTCAAAACAAAACTGAGAAATAAGACAAAGGGAACTCCCGTTCCAAAAATAGGCAGAACTTCAAGGGAAATCATTCTAATAGTAATTGGGCTATGCCGTTGCTGCATATATGTGTCAGCAAATCGTAGAAATAAAGAGGAAAATACGCAACCGACAGGGGTGAGGTAGTGGCGTTGACCGACACTGGTGCAGCAATGGCGGTGAGTAAGTTAATGTTCACCTAAGAAATACGATTGAAGAGATTGGATGAGAAATTTTCGAGACTCACGTGGAGCGCATGGAGACATCTAGACAGCCAGGGGATGAAATTTACAACCTTACACTGAAATGTGGGGGCAGGGTGGTATCGCGGTCTCAAAATGAGCAATTTGATGGCAAGGTTACTGTAAGTCATTTATTTTAGTGATCCTGTATATATCCAAAGAGCAATTTTTAAATAGGACCCAAAGAGAAAAACTTTGTAATTATTGGGTCAAGATTTTTATTTTTTTCGTTTGATCACAGGCCTGCAGAAGTGCCATGCAATGTTTAGTGGGCATGGGTAAATTCCCTAATGAGCTTTAAAAAAAAAAAATTTTACGCGGCCAGTAGGGTTGGGGCGAGCGGACGGACGGGTTCGTTACTCACGGACTCAGTCAGAGCGAACGGGTAACGGACGGCCATGAGAGCGAACTGCGAACCTGAAGACAGTTCGGTTTTTTTGGGTCCGCTCCACAATTTGACTCTCTCAGGGAGTGGACTGCGGACCTCAAGCCTCAAGTCAGTTCGGTTTTTTTGGGTCCGCTCCACAATTTTATTCACTGGGCGGGCGGGCTAACGGACGAACTCTAGCAGACGAGATACTCGACGCGAGATTAGACCCGTCTCTATTGTTTGTTAATTAGGCCTGATGTTTCAAACCACTAGCGGTGCCACAGATAGTGAGAGGCTGGTGACGTAGTACTATGAGTGTAACCTTTCACCTCGTGCGTGGGGCACACTGTGTACGTTCCAATTAATTATCTCAAAGGCCGGGGGGGGGCGGAAATTTCCGCCATGAGCCATGAACGCCTTGCTACAATGTGAGACAGGAGGGTGATTTTTTAATTATTTTGTG